TCTCTCTCTCTCTCTCTCTCTCCTTCTCTCTCTCATCTGGAAACATGTACATGCATTAGTTCTCTCTGACAACATCAATATCAGCATTGTATGCCATTGCGCCAAAAAATTTAATTTGCATACAATGTAGAGAATGTTCACAGCGGGGAGGGAAGAGAAATGTACGTGAATATAGGGAGAGGGAAAACACATGCACGTGGGACGTGTGTGTGTACGTGTGCATATGGAGGTATATATATACTAGGGTAGATGTGTATAAGCATACATATTTAGGCAAGAACGTTCAAATGTGTGTGTGTGTGTGTGTACTCACCTAATTGTGCTTGTGGGGGTTGAGCTCTGGCTCTTTGGTCTCTTTGGTCCCTGTGTGTGTGTGTGTGTGTGAATGTGTGTGAGTGTGTGTCCGCGCGCGCGCCCCCCTTCTGAAATAAATGGCACCTCCGCACCCTTATTCATCTGCATCTTAGCCATCGATAAGCCGGGACTTTCAAACAGCACAAAATTAAATGTATCAATCTTCATTCTGCGACACCAGCCCGACCCTAGCTTTTCTTCATTATCCAGAAACTCTTATTACAGAAGGGAAGGTGTCCTCCAGTGACTTGACGGAGGAGGGGGCGTCCTCCAGCCTGTTGACGGAGGAGGGGGCGTCCTCCAGCCTGTTGACGGAGGAGGGGGCGTCCTCCAGCCTGTTGACGGAGGAGGGGGGCGTCCTCCAGCCTGTTGACGGAGGAGGGGGCGTCCTCCAGCCTGTTGACGGAGGAGGGGGCGTCCTCCAGCCTGTTGACAGAGGAGGGGGCGTCCTCCAGCCTGTTGACGGAGGAGGGGGCGTCCTCCAGCCTGTTGACGGAGGAGGGGGCGTCCTCCAGCCTGTTGACGGAGGAGGGGGCGTCCTCAAGCCTGTTGACGGGGAAGTGGGTGTCCTCAAGTCTCTTGTCCGGGTAGGGGGATGTCCTCAAGACTTGCCGGGGGACCGAGGGGTGTCTCTAAGACTCTTGACGGAGGACCGGGTGTCATCAAAGCTCTTATTTGTCGACAGCCGAAGAACACGTGACTCCTTAAACACTCTAAATCCAGTCTTCCTGTCCATAGTTGAGAATTGTAAGAAAAGGATAAATGAGATACAGTTGAAAGGTCGCAAAGTTAAGTCCATCTGGATTCCATCTCATGTTGGAATAGTGCTCAACGAGGTGGCGGAAGACTTGGCCAAACGTGCCACATCAAAACCACAAGTTGAAATTGAAGACAAACAATGAGACAAATAAGAAGCAAAATTAGAACTATTCAGGCACAGGCAGAAGTGGCGAGGAGAGGTATAATGTATGAGGAAAGCCAAACCATGCAACACTACATATATGTGAGTCAAAACACCCATTTCACTTATGGTAAAGGAGAAATGCTTAGTGACCCTGTACGCATGTGGCTCAGACTTGGGTACAAATATTACTGGGAATATGCAATAGGTGTTAATGATAATGACACTAAGTGTAAACTATGTGGTATGTTAAGGGCTCACACTCTCACTCATTATGTTCTTGATTACCCGTTGATTAATATAGAAACACGGAGATAAGGACTGTTCCTGAGCAAATAACCTGGATGTGTCACAACGGAAAGATTAATGATATTCTGGAGAGATATTTTGCACCAAGAGTGTAACTTTGTTAAACAATCTGAATGTCTATTGTAAATGGTCTGTGTACCTAGTGTGACGATAATCTCCTTCAAGAGATTGAGCCTGCTCTTCCCTCCATAATTACGTCTTCACAATTATATAAAAAGACTATGGAAGAAATGTCCAACAACGACAACAACACCAGCAAGGCTTGCCAGGGTGAGCAGAAACGTATGCAGCCAGCCACCTGTTCGAACTCCAACCACCAAACTACCCGTTGATCGCTACGGCTCCGCTGATTGGTTGCCGGTCTGGCTGCACCTGCCTCGCCCCCCCCCAATACTACCTGATGTCTGGGGTCGCCCCAACATCAGTCCTCAGAATGTTCAGTGCTTTCGTAGCCAGCACTCCTCCCAGCTAGACTCTAGAGTGTACTGAGAGAGGTGGTGGCTTTAAGCCAATATTCCAGCACCTCCCACTTAACTTTTGTTGCACTTCTTGTTATTTTGCCTTAACGTAACTTTTCATTGTGTCATTTAAGTATTCTTATTATTTGATTGATTGATTTTATTATAAGAATTTGTTTGTGCATTATTTTCATGTTTTGATTTATTTAACGTAATTAAAATTTCATTGTTAAAGTTTACTTGTGTTTTGTGTGTCTTCTCCTTACCTTACCACAGACGAAGTTCCAGTTTTTCTATTTTTTTTTATAACTATGTGACGAGGCCATACCCCTAGCCTTAAACAGCCGAACACCAACGCGTTACCGTCACACTAGTCATACAAGTATTTGTGTGTAGGTCTGATAACATAGTGCATGTGTAAAGGAAGAAATGTATATATTTATCACTCAGAATGTTTGGTAATATGTTTATTGTTTGTAATGTGTGTCTATATATGTATGAACACGTTGTTCTGAACGGGATGAGAGTAGCTTTAGCTTCCTCATCCCTTTGTGTGTATAGGGGGTAGAAATAGCCTAAGCTACTCTATCCCTTTGAGATGTATTTATTGCTTATCTCAATAAACACACTTGAACTTTGTGTGTATTTATACCTCAATAAACTTATTTCAGTTTCAATGCTCTTGATGAAGGAGGAATGTCCTCACAACTCTTGACGGGGTGTGAGGTCACTCACCATGTTGTCCCTCTCGTCACGGCTCATGACGAGGGGACAACATACAACATTGACGGGGACGGGTGTCCTTTCGTGAGATGTTTCGTCTCGTCATTTCTCATTGCCACACCTTACGAGGTCTTTCTATATCTTTCAAGGCAAATAAAAAATCCTCCAACCTCCATTCGCTCAGATGACATTTTCATGGAGCCTCTCCGGCGAGATCCGAAAGCGTGTACCGCGTTGCACCTCACCTGGTAGGGTGCGAACTCGGGCTGGTAGAGTATTATCTCTATTTTGCACTCTCTGGCAAGCTACCTGCATCTAATTTCGAAAAGAAGGATGATGATATTGTGCATCTTACAATCAATCCAGTGTAGAACTTGGCAAGCAGATCAAGAACCAAAATCATATATATTGTTGTCAATGTATATTTTTTGTACTTCGTCTGCTTATCATTTTCTACATTCTCTACGATTCCGCCCACATTCAAATCTCTACATTCTCACCCCGCATCCGTGCTCACCACCCCCGGCCTCACTCAAACCTCTGCACTGCTCTGGGCCTCGTCTCGGCTAACACGTCATTACATCTCCAACAAACCGACTGCTGTAACCAAGACTATCTATGTAAATAAAAATGGAAATGTTCGTTTGTTTTAAATCGCTAATCTCCGAAAGTTCTTCACCGATTGCTTTGAAATTTTCACACAACTTTCCATTGGCATCCAAGCGGGTTTTTATATACATACTAAATATATGTCACATTTGTGACGGGAAAAAACGTGTTTTTTTTTTAACTGTGTTTTTCATGTGATGGAAATCTTCGAAACCTCTTTACCGATTGTTTTAAAATTTTGACACGAGATTTCATTCGAATAGGCGCTTGTTTTTATATACCTACTATATACATGCTTCATCTGTGACAGGAAAAAACATCTTTTTTTTTAAAACAGCGCCATCTGTTGAACGTAAGAGCAACAGACTCTGTTATCTCCAAAAGTTCTTCACCAATTGCTTTGAAAGTTTGATACAACGTTCCAATCGAATACACGCATGTTTTTATATACCTACTATGTAGATACCACACCTGTGACAGGTAAAAACATGTTTTTTTTAACAGTGCCATCTGTTGCAACTAAGAGCAACCCACGCTATACTAAATATGTTACGATTCCATTTCAATGTTTCCGATTACATTGATAAAGTTAATTTTCATAGATTTCGATTTATTTTCATTCTGATTTCATTATTTTGTGTGACATTGCATTGGAATTGAGCTATATATTGACCAGACCACACACTAGAAGGTGAAGGGACGACGACGTTTCGGTCCGTCCTGGACCATTCTCAAGTCGATTGTGATGATTGAAGGAGAAGGCAATAAATAGGCAGAAGAGAGATGAGAAGAAGAATGAGCTATATAGTTTACCATACCGTTCATTTCGGGAGTATAGTTTATTTTTTTTTTTCATTGTTATAATTTTTGTTTTTTTTAACTGTTCTTATTTTTCAGCGATGGGAACATCAGATCATTTGACGTTCCCAATTTTCGGATGAGAATATCAGATCATTTGGGAATGCATCAGACGAGGGAATGGGGAATGGTGGGGAGGACGAAGGGACGGGAATGAGGGATGGTGGGGAAGACGACGGGACAGTGTAAGGGGTAATGGTGAGGAGGACAAACGGATGGGGGAGTTGGGGATGGTGGGGATGGGGGAATGGAGAATGGCGAGGAGGACAAGGGGACAGGGGAGGGGGGAATGGTAGTGAGGATGATGGGACGGGGGAGTGGGAGATGGTGGGGAGGACGAGGGGACAGTGGAGTGGGGAATGGTGGGGAGGACTGAGAGACAGGGAAAGGTTGCTGTGGCTATGCGTTGCTGAGCCACAGCAACGCGTGGCCGGGTACAGCTAATACTAAATAAATATGAACCTCCACTAAACTCTTTGTCTTATCACCCAAATACATTACACGTAAACAATACGTTATAGCCGCCTTCAGGTAAAAATCAAATAACGGTGTGAATTTTCTGGGCTATATGTAGCTTCCTGACCTTATTGCGAAGGGTAAATTACGCGTACGTGCTCAGCATCAGAATTAATCTGTTCATTGAATCATATTAAAATTTTTTAATATAACCTTAGTACAAGAATGCAACAACTCTTGTATATATCTAAAAAAAAAAAATTTAAGAGAGTATACGAAACGTCCCTGAAATTGTATGCGGATAGTCTGAAAGCTGTTTATACGAACTGGCGTGCGTGTGTATATCTGAGGCAGGAGAAAGGCAGCCGGCAAGATGGCAGCGGTGGGCAGGGCTGGCTTTGGCTGGCTTCCTCGTAATCTTTATCGTATTAATGCTTGCCAGTCCTTGAAACTAAACTATGCCTGTGTTGCCTCCTTCCATAACACGTCGGCGCTCAATGGTAGGTGATGTGAGCTTCCAGGCGTCAGTGGGAGATGACAGGTGCCAGGGAGGGTCATGGCAGGTGCCAGGAAGGGTTATGGCAGGTGCCAGGAAGGGTTATGGCAGGTGCCAGGGAGGGTCACAGCAGGTGCCAGGGAGGGTCATGGCAGGTGCCAGGGAGGGTCACAGCAGGTGCCAGGGAGGGTCATGGCAGGTGCCAGGGAGGGTCACAGCAGGTGCCAGGGAGGGTCATGGCAGGTGCCAAGGAGAATCACAGCAGGTGCCAGGGAGGATCATAATAGGTGCCAGGGCTTTTGATAATTACTAAGTTGTATAGGGTCTCCAGTACATTTGGGTTCATTTGGGGAATCCTGGATGGAACAGAAATGTTTAATTTTCTGCCCGAAATGCTATGCGTTTTAGTGGCTTTGCAAGAATGTAAGAACACCACCATTATATATTCTGACAAACACAATATACCTTCCTGTATATAAATAAATATCACCTAATGGCTCAGTTCACCTGGAAGTAAACAGATATACAGGAGTTAGTCAACTGTTGTGGGGTTGCTTCCTGATTTACCTGAGGGCCGCTATCTCTAGTGGCCTCAACGAGGACAGAAAGCCCCAAAGCTTGTCAAAGGTCCCCCAATTGTCCTGTTGATTCTCTCCAAATGGATTTTGAAATTCAGCAGTGTTTTGGCATTTATGGCTTGAGGGGGTAGGCAGTTCCATGGGTATATAACTTTGTGGGTAAAAATGCATCTCGTAGGGAGGTTCAGTAGGTCAACCTTGGGGAGGGGGCATCTTGATATAACCCTAATATTTATATATATACACAAAATGCCTGTCCCCAATAAAAGGAATTATTATTCTTACTTGCAAAACTATTTTAAATTTGTCATACCCAATGCAACCTAGAACAATGAAGCCAAGCCTATCCTAACAATATACAAGATTTTAACAACTCGAAAACAAGCTTTGCCAAAATGCCTGTGTACAATTTACTAAACCCAGTGTCACTAGGGGCGATATCATGGGGTACAGTTAGGTCGTTCACAAGCCTTGTGACGGCCCATTTCCTAGGTGTTTAATGCTGTATCTTATCCTTTAATTAGGCGGGGGTTAAGATAGGTAGGTTTTAGAATCCATTGATCAACTGGATTAGGTACAAACTATTAAATGAATTTCTGTATTAAATTAAAGGTCTTCATCATAGCATGAATTGTGTGACATTGGTAGAATTTGTGCAGACTCCATTGTGAATTTCTATAGGCTTTTTAATTGCACAGTTTATTTTGGTTTGTTCATCCTGAACATACAACACCCAGTTCATATATATTGCTTTTTCTTCATATTTATACATGTTTTCCATTGCATTTTGATACTGTAACCTATCCAAACACATGAATTGGGGATATTGAATGCCTGCCTAATGGGTGCTGCACTAGGCTACTTTGCTACAGGAAAAAACAAAATACACTTGATTGTGAATTTTAACTATAACTCTTAAGTTATGTTAGAGTTTAATATAACTATCAATGTATAATGATAGTTATGTTAGAATTGATACTGGATCTGAGCAGTGTATTGATCCATGGGCATAATTCGTGTAATGTAATTTGGCATGTAACCAAATAGTGCACAATATTTGATTATGATTTATTATCCATATAATTCTCAGATTAATAAAAAAAATTAATGTGTTTACTCATATAATACACATTCTAAAATATCACTGATTATTTACCCGAATTTACCTGACGGCCACTACCACTAGTGGCCTCAACGAGGACAGGAAGCTAGCGGCTTGTCAAAGGGCCCCTCCCATTTGCCTTTATGATCTTTTCCAGTTGAATCTTAAAATTTAACAGAGTTTTGGCATTTACAGCTTTGGCGGGTAGGCGGTTACAAGCTGTGGGTGACCAAAGCTTGTACGGTAACGATAACTAGAATATCCGGTGTGATTTTTGCCATATAGTATTTCCAAGCCTCTGATATAGTATTTTAAAATTTATTTTAAGAGGAAACCAACAATTTGTGACAGGCAGACCCATGAAATTGAAATACAGTAATTAATAATAATTCATTGTGGAGGGACAGGAAGTCAGAATGTATTCATACATGTTAAGGTTATATCGAGGTCCCATTCACCCCCCCCCCCATGTCGAATTACTGACCCCTGCAAGGATGCAACCCCACAACAAGCTAACTAACTTACTGCTAGGTGAACATTAGGAAATGTACCCGACTATTCATTTTGAGAATTCCTGGTTTTTGTTCACAAATACGGGCCTCCTGGAGGCATCTCCAGTTGCAACGAATTGGAGTTGGTCCCCATATAGTTTATTAACTCAAGGGTACACTGTATTTCTTTTACAATAACGTGCTTCGTGGAGGGGGACTAACAGCTTATACACATACTGTACACATGTTTTCAATGGGTGCTCTTTGTTCTGTTTTTGATAATTCTATACTTGTGAATGAGAACTATCAGGGAATTTTTGGATATATAGAATTGATGTACAGTATGTTTTTCAGTTTGTGAATGATTAAATATTTGTTACCTGCTCTTCATGACACACTGCTAAATTAATTTTAGAAATTACGAATAATTTTTTCCACAGCTCAGGGGTTGCCCATTAAAATGCCCTCACTTTCTCCCACCATGATGGAGGGAACCATAATCAAATGGCTGAAGAAGGAAGGAGACACTCTTCAACCTGGAGACATTTTATGTGACATTCAAACTGATAAAGCTGTTGTTTCTCTGGATGTTGAGGAAGAAGGCACCTTAGCCAAAATTCTGGTATGTGTTTGTTACAATAAATCGACTCTCACACCTAGGCTATACTATACAGTCTTAAAATTTGGTACTGGAGACTGTATAGTTTTATGCATACCAGGCATTCAGTTGGATGTTTCTCACTGTCTCGTTTGACCTTGTTTGATATGCAGTATGTACTAAATCTTCTTTGTTCCTACAGCTTCAGATTTGTAGCAGATCAAGAGTTCATCCTATTCGTGCTTGTCTTTAGTTCTTTGAAAATGTATATTGGATGTGGAGAATTAATGGGTGATTTTTTTTCAGCTGGATTTTTGGGTTTTGGTGAAGATGATGACTATGGATCATTTATGGAGAACCTCTTTGAAGTACACAACCAGCTGGCAGTTAATGATCATATTGAAGTTTCAGACAGCATATTTTCTCAGAATGCAAATAATTTTGATGAGGCTCAACCTAAATTTATGCAAACCAAACAAATGAAAGAAAATGAGATCACGCAACACCAGAATCAAATAATGCATGGGCATAAGAGAAAATATGGGCATGAGAGAGAGAATGAAGCTGAGAGAGAGACTCAATCTCTGTCTTCTGATTGGTCTAATGGAGCTAAAAGTGAAAATAAACAGAATGATATTACCACCATGCTGGAAAAAGACCACACCATAGAGCACTTACATACTTTGATGCAAGTACCAGCTTTCATGGAGCCACGTCCTGTATGTATCCAAGAAATTGCAAATAATTTAATTGTACCATTAGAAGCAAAACTACCTATTGAGCTACAGTCTAAGGGTTTATCTGATAATGTAACTCAAATTAAATTTGATAATGTTAAAACGTCTGGTGTTACGTCACAAGAAAATTCTGCAAACAATGAGGTTCCTTTACAAGATACTGTTGCTTACTCAGACAATGCAGTGGTATCAAAACCCAGTAATCAGGAAAAAAGAGAAAAAACTGACTTAATGTTTGAAGGAACATATCCAAACGCAATACATTCATCTACTTTAATTCAAACAGAAAAGGCAGACACTAGTTTTAGTGCAAGCAGCTATGTGCACAGTAGTGAAATGCAAGAGTATGGAACTGCCTCATCCATATCCTCAAGAGCACAGCCAGTCCAGAGCAGAGCTGTTCTCCAGGTATGCCGTCTGGGTAGTACAGTGCTTACTGGTTGTATGGCATGGGATTGTGTGGGTAATTGTTGGGATAGATCAGTATTATATTGAATTTTGTTAGAATATTTTCAAATGCAGTATGTACAGTATATTTGTAGCTAGTGTAATATGTATAACTTTTGAGTTCAGTACTTGTTTAGCTTCTGCAACACATTATGACCATTATAATGTGTGGCTGAAATGTCAGGATTAGTAAACATGGTATGTACCAATATGTGGGGATAAATTTGTTTAAGTGCATGGGATAATTTATATGGAACAAACAAATAATGATTCTCTACTGTAGTGCTGGTTTCTTTCTCAAAAATGCTGCACTGCAAAGATTGCCCTGATATGGAACACATCCGTCCCTCCATTATCATTATCCAGCATTCCAATAGTGGGGTAGGGAGGCATTAGCATGGAAAGAAATGAGAAATTATATTGGTATGGTTTTCCATAATTGATTACAGGAAGCCTGTTTGACTTATCGAGGATACCCTAGGCTAACTAACCTTTTTCCAGGATGCACTCCCAACAATTTCTTAACTCCCAGGTACCTCTTTACTGCTAGGTGAACAGACAAGTGAAAAGAAACATTGCACAAATGCTTCTCTCCTTATGCACTGATCATTGTGAGCACAGGCTAGGTGATAATTGTGATATATTAATAATGATCATTTGTTGGTTTGTGTGTTAGGTGTGAGGTTATACCTGTATAATAATAATAATATTTATACTACAGTATATAATATTATTATATAACCACACACCAAATAATGTGGGTGGTTAATAATTGAACTCTATAATGAAATATATTTCCCTAGGAGTGTATACCCTATGAAAGGTGTTTATGAAAGAATTGAATATGAGCTGTAAGAAGATAGTTCTAAAAGCTTTCCAGTAATTTGTGTGAATTTTTAAATAATAAATTTTATCAGGTTCCAGAGGACACCAAAGATGTGAAGGTAGGCACCTTGATAGCAGTTATGGTAGAAGAAGGTGAAGATTGGAAGGCAGTTGAAATGCCCAGTGAAGACTTGACACTACCATCTGGATCTCTACCTGTCACAGCTTCTCCCACACTTGCTACTGTTTCTGATGCTGGCCATGGGTGCGCATAATACTGAGAGTTTTACATTTAATGTAGCCATTCAGCTTCATAAACTGGTGAAAGTGCTGCATAAACACAGCCATTTCTGTCTTTTGGTTTTGTTTGCATGTCTTTCTGATTGGAGACAAAACTTGAAAGTTTTATGCATGTGAATTTTCCATGTGTTTTCTTCATGCCCAAGCTGCTCAGGGTTTTAAAATAAGAGTAAAATGGTAGGGAGAATTGGTCTCTGATCTGGGATCTGCATCTGCCCTGGCCCCAGAAAACAAAACAAAACCAAAAGTTCTTACTGCTATATAAAATGATTGAGAAATAAATGGGGAACAAAAGCTGGATGTTGGAAAGTTTTTAAAGAAAGCAAGTTTGTTGATCAGGATTTGAAAGACAAATTTTAAAAAATAGAATGGAATGGAGGAAGACATACAAGAGCAGTAGTGAGAAAATAAGAAAGGAAGGTAGGAAAGTAGGAAGGAAGCAGGTTGAGAGCTGTCCTTTCCTATAGTTTGTGATAAGCCTTGTCCACTTGATCTCTATTTTTAAGTTTTAGTCTTAAATGTTTTTCCCACATCTTGCTCGAAATGCTGTGTTATGTCTGTTTATAACAGACTATCAAAAAGCTTTCCCAGTGCAACATTTTTTATATTTGATTTTGTTAAATTGGTTTTGCACCTAAATTATACTTACTTGTACAGTATTTTCTCTTTGCTACTCTCAGCTTTAACTGCAAAACAACTTCAAAATGTGAACTTCATCTTTTAAAGTGTTTTATCAAATCCAGCATTGTATCTGTCATTTTATTTTAATCAAGCGGAAATTATTCAAATATCTAAGTGTCTTCATTATTAAGGTACAATTTTTTTTTGTTTGTAGTAACTATGGGCCTTCAGTTCGTCTGTTGCTAGAGCAGTATGGGCTTTCTGCTAGTCAAGTTCCTGCTGGAGGGCCACATGGTAGACTATTAAAGGGGGATGTTCTGCAAGCTATCAAAGACAAAAATCTTCAGCCACGGCCATTAACTGCAGGTTAGAACATTTATTTACTAGAACTATTAGAACTATTCCTAAAATTGGGTTGCCAGAAATTGGGTTGGTTGTTCAGGTTATTAAAAAAAAATTTTTAGGTTGGTATTAAAATTTTATTTACTTGACCACTGCAGTAAAGTAATTTGAGGACTCACAGATATACAACAAGGTCCTTTTAAATCAAGTAGCAATTTATATTTTTATATTTTATAAAGAATAATATTTTTGTCTTTATTCGAATTGAAGCTTAAGGCTTGGGATTTTCATGAATAGATGAACAATCCAGAAGCATCCTCTTATTGTTGGACTTTATGATGAAAAAACTGCCGCTGTAACACTAACTGCAGCACTAGTTGTTGCTGTTAATAGCATATACATTTATGATATCCCAGCTGGTGTTGTTAGCATCATGAATGTGGGCAATTTAAATTTGTTTGTATCTTTTCTTAGTTGCAAAATAAAGGCTGCAGATATTCTTGGACCCAGATTCCTAATAGCAGAAAAGCATGATTTGTGTTTTTCTCTTAGACTGTGGTAGCCTTACACCTTTTCCATTTCTCTGGGGTTAATCTGAACCAAAATTTGTTTTCTAAATGGGAGCAGGATTCTTTTTATAGTCAAGATTTCTTTTCTTGGGGTTAATCTTTGATCAAATTTTCACATCAGCCTCCCTAATCTTGGGGCATTTAGGACTTTGTGTATGAATTTAAGGAGGTGTGTAAGAGGAGACCCATTTATATTCGTGCAATCTGATTCATATATATGTCTAACCTATGCTGGAAAAAATAAAGTGATCCCACATGTATTATGTTATTTGGTATTTTGTTCTATGAATCAACCTTATTTCCAAACCAGTATTTACCTAGGTTATTCTTAAATTTAAACTTCTCCAGCCAGTAGAGATGCAAGAGATGCAAAACTATCTCTAGTTTTGTTACATTAATCACTGGTGACCCCTATTTATAATCCATGTTCTCCTGGAGGGCTCACAGGACTCCCTCATATGATTAAACTATGTCGAGTTAATTCTGTATTTTGTGCCATGCACCCACCAGTTGCTCTTCCCGAAGTTCCAAAACCTGCCACTGCGTCTGGTTCTCTCACAGCTCCCACATCACCGATTGTTTCTCATCCATTACCAATTATTGATATATCAGACGATGGTTTTTATGACATTGAAGTAACGAACATGAGGAGAACCATAGCCAAACGACTCACACAATCAAAGGTTTGTATTATTTTATCCTTATTATTATTATCCTTATTATTAGTATTATTATTATCGACAGTCTGCTTTTCTGTGGGGAGCTCCTTCTGCTTCCTTGAGCTATCGGGCTAATGTGTGATATATTAGACCGGGGCATTAGTCTATGGACTTCAGCCTACTGGGGAACACGAGCCAGAACCTGGCCCCCTCAGAAAGATTTCAGGAAACAATGGCCCTAGAACCCCCCCTCCCCCCTTCCCTCTGTGGTGGCAGGTTTTCCTTATCTGCCATCGACTGGGGTTAGGCACCCAGAAAGCTAGGTAGTATAACAAAACAAACCCCCACATGGTAAGAAAAGTACAACTAAAAACCAAAAAGAGAAGAGTCCCAAACGCACCAGTCCCTGGTGCGTTTGGGAAACCATTTCCATATGGGTTTTGCTGCTCGGCATTTACTCCGCCCTTGATTGGCCTTGGGTAGGGAGTGGTATCGTGCTGGTTGGGGCATCAAGGTGTCATGCAGCCGGCCTACCTATGCAGCAGCCGGTTCCTGTTTCCTCTGGTGACTTTGTACTTTTATGGGGGTTTTCTTTTGTATTTGTTTTTCTTGCCTGGTGTGGTTATAATTCCACTTATAATATTTTGGTGGCCCCTCTGCTAGGCCCCCATGATTGTACATGTTGCAGGGGTTTCAATGTTTTGATCTTCCCCTTGTTAGCTTTGGATCTTAACCAGTTAGCAACCAGTTAAGGGCCCTGGGCCCTGGAAAACCCTGTCAGGTCTCGGTGGACCTATGGATGCATCTTCCAAGTTCCAGCCCGCCTCGTGAGGGTTTGAAGGTTGCTGTGTGCTCTTGTCTCAGAGTGACAGTCACCACTTTTGCCTCTGTCATGCTGCCTGTTGGGTCTACGACACCTTTGATCCGGAGTCTTGTGAGTTGTGTTCTCTGCTTGTTTCTATTGGCACACATTAGCCCGATAGTTTTTTTTTTCAATATCCCAGATAAAAGTTGTCCAACCAGTTGGGCTGGACGGTAGAGTGACGGTCTTGCTTCATGCAGGTCGGCGTTCAATCCACGACCGTCCAAGTGGTTGGGCATCATTCCTTTCCCTCGTCCCATCCCAAATCCTTATCCTAATCCCTTCCAAGTGCTATATAGTCTAATGGCTTGACACTTTTCCCCCTGATAATTCCCTCTCCCTCCCTCCCTCCCAGATAAAAGTTGTATCAAACTAGAGCTGTCTTTAAAATACGTAAAATGTTTTCTTTGATTAAATATTATGCAGCACAAAATTGAAAAAGTTTATTGAAATAATATGCATCTTTGATTAATTATGACATATTGTTTGAGTATAATATTTACTATTGCAATGTTGACCAAACCACATACTAAAAGATGAAAAGATGATGACGTTTCAGTCTGTCATGGACCATTATCAAGTCGATTGTTCGGAAGCATGAGAACGGTACACGTGTTGTTGAATAGGCAGTACAACAAAGCCACATCAACAATATGCACTATACTTAAGAAGAAAAAGAGATTATGTGTGCTAAAGTGGCAAAAGGAGGAAATCTTAGAGGAAGATAAAAGCAAGGCGAAAGTAGGCATCCATCACTCTCAAGGAGGAGGGGTGACTTTCGGAGTTGCGAAAGCCAGGTTGTTGCACGGTTCTAAAGAACCCCTGTGACTTCTCCAGGGCGCAAAGCCAGGGGTAGTTTGATAGAAAGAGAAGTGGTATCCATAGTGTTACAAGCTGTTCTCCCCTTCCAGCAGTAACTCCTCTCCTCCTCCCCCCTCCTCACCATCTTCCATACGCCTACAGCACTCGACAGCAAGGTAAGGAATGCGAGGCGTCTCCAGGAACGGATTAAACTCGTATTCTGAGGTATGCCTGTACTAAAAGATGAAAAGATGATGACGTTTCAGCGCCAATACGATTGGTTCCAGTACCGTCACAAAAACTGTCAGAACGAGGTTGAAGGTAACATCGAACTGCTGTAGGGGTTCCAGCTCCGGAGGTTACCTCGAGGTTGGTGAAAGAAGGCACAGGGATTCCAAACCCAGAGACTGCCATGGTCGGGGCCGGAGAAGAACCTGAAGGATAGGTATAATAAAGGGTATATAGGGATAATAAAAAGAGTAAATGGGAACGAAAGAGAAAGTACAAGAAAAATTTACTACATTATTGCAAATTTAATGCTGGCTTCTTTTCAGGGTGGTATTGCCCATTCATACGGTACTATTGACTGTTGTGTGGACAAGCTTGTAGCATTGAGGAAGCAATACAAGAAGGAAGGAATCAGTGTTAGCATTAATGACCTTATCATCAAAGCTGTTGCTGTTGCCTTGAACAGATGTCCAGAGATGAACTGTGTGTGGAGAGGAGATCAGGTAATGTTTTCACAGGTTATTAGTGCATTGAAGGTAATGTTGTTAATAGTAATTAGTGCAGTTTGAAGCCTCTAGCTTGTTCATTATGTAGCTATTATTTTCTAAATATAAAATAACAAAATACACTAAGGGGTTATTAAGACATAAGAACATAGAAACTACAGTGGAGGGGGACCTATTATATCCCCTCTAATGCGTTGTGTGCGCCTTTCTCTAAAGATAAGGGTCCCTCCTTCCAGCCAGAGGTGGTATTCCCTTTCCATCTGTATATAATATTAAATATAAAATGAAAAATATCATTCTGTTGAAAGACCTAAATAATTTCTGTAGTTAACTTAATTGTAATATTTCAGCTTGTGATGGCTGACCAAGTGGATATTAGCATTGCAGTAGCAACACCTGCTGGCCTTATAACCCCAATAATTCATGGAGCTGACACGTTGGGTGTTGAAGATATTGCAACCAAAGTGCATGATCTAGCTGGCCGAGCTAGAGAAAACAAACTAAAGCTAGATGAATTTCAAGGGGGAACTTTTACGTAAGTCTAACCTATAGTTCTTCAAATTATATCCTATTTAATAGCAACAAAATAATGTTATTTGTAAGGAAGTGTGTGTTGTGTAATTTATTGTGCATCATGAATAATCTATTGAAATGACTTCATTTTCTGTGGGGAGCCCCTCTGGCTCCCTGGAGCTATCGGACGGATATACACTATATTAGTCTGGGGCTTCAGTCAATGGAGTTCTGTCTGGTGGGGACCACGAGCCAGAATCTGGTCCCCTCAGAGAGGGGCAGAGAACAATGGCCTAAGGAAACCCCCCCCCCTTGTATTTGGGAGTATTCCATGTCTGCCATCGTCCAGGGTTAGGCCCTGCAGGGGAGAAGGGCTCTTTCCCCTCTTCCTACCATGGGACCAGATGGGCTCTTGGTTCTCGGTAGGCAGAACTCCATTGACTGAAGCCCCAGACTAATATAGTCTGGGACTTTAGTCAATATCAGTCTGATAGCTCCAAGGAGCCTCTGAGGCTCACCCAGAAAATGGAGTTTCATTACATTCAATGCTGGTTTTTATATTATTATTGTTGATATTTGGGTAGATAGAAATGCAGTTGTTTTTAATATAATTGCACTTATGATAATTACCAGTGTACTGTACATGGGAAGCAAGATAAAGCTCTTTAATTGTACCTGGTACTAATAAATTTCAGGTCAGTTTATTTGTGAATTTATTGGTCTATTTCACATTAATTATTTAGTTCTAGGTAATTTTGAAAAATTTCAGCAGTTTCGTTTTATTAATATTTTTTTCTGAATAGCATTTCAAATCTGGGGATGTTTGGAATTAGTGAGTTCAGTGCCATCATCAACCCTCCTCAGTGTGGCATCCTTGCAATTGGTGGAAGTAGACTGTTATTAGGTAAGTTTATGCATTATTGATTATTTAACACTTTCGCGCTATCTGGACGCGCCGGCGCGTTCGGTTTCGTCTAACGTAAACGCATAGTGGACATAAAGTTATGTCTACTTTTAAAATATTTGTATAAAATTCAATTTTTATCCGATTTACTTTGGGTTTGTTTCAAACTGCGCGCTATGAGGCTCTCTTTCTCACCACTAGGCTGCATGGTACAATAAGTTCATGAAAGGTGTGGATAACTTCGATCAAATGGTATTTTGTCCCAAACGGGTTGCAGGTGGGTGACTTTAGCCGTTTATACTGGTAATTCTTCCCCCATATCATGTATTATATGCATATGTCTGTTTAGGGAATTTTATTCCGATCAATATACAACCAAAAATAACTGTGTGCAACAAGTATAATCTTGACAAACATAACAAAAGTAAAAATATTTCGTGTGTGTTTGACGCTCACTGATATGTTCCAGCGTTGTTTTATATTTGTCGCTATTCTAACTTACGCTTTGTTGATATTTTTTACCTATGGGCACATAGAACATTCTATTGCGAACACATTGACATAAAAATGAATGACGTACATAGAAAATTAATGTCATGAGAGTGAAATAAGTATAAACTTTCAAAGCGCCGTGCGTCGTCCCGTCACCGATACCGGGTAACAATTTCACCACTTCCCACACTCTTGCGGGCGGGCTGCATCATTATTCTACGCTTATATTCATATCACCGTGTTGGGAATTTCATTGCGAGTCCATTGATACCAAAATTAACGCTGTAGAACAAGTGTGGAGGTGATTACAATCCCAAGAGTAAAAACATTTTGTTGCTGATGGGCGCTCACGGCGAGTCATCTACGTAGTTATTTATTTGGTGCTGGTATCCCTATATGTTTCGTGACTTATTTTACTAATGTTCTTCTAGAGAATTTTATTGCGAACACGTTGGTACCAAAATGAAATACGTAGCATGAGAACTAAGGTCAGAAGAGTAAAAAGAGTATACACATTTTTGTTTTTACGCTTAAGCGATAAAAACGCAGCGCGCACATTCGGTTGGCTGAGTGACCTTTGCGGAGAGCGCGATGTTAATCTATCTTCAGGAAATAGACTCGGAGATTCGTGGCAACAAGGATGTTCACATTTTGATTGCAGGACCTTGTTTGTTTTGTTCATTCTATCTAGCATGTCATTCCAAGGAAATGAGAGAAAGTGTGTTTACAATTTTTTTCCTCGCTACTCCTGCCTTTCACCTTGTATTCACTTGCTGTTTATTGTCAGCTGATAGAGAATCTAGCTTGTTTTATTTTCGCGAAACCCCCACAGAGCATGAACATGTGCTCACCATCGTGTGTCAGACAGATGCTTGACCACCAAATCTTTTCCTAAAAATAATGTCAATACATTCTTATAAGTAAAACCAGCTAAAAATTAATACAGATTCTGTACAAAGTAAAAGAATTTGACACCCTGTACACAACACACTACTGCTTTTACTCCCAAGTTCAGGCTGTGTTGGGCACAGGGGACATAGATGGCAAACTCTGTGGAAACTTGACGAATCCATGCTTGCAATCCAGTATTCGTCCAGACATATTTGAGGCATTATAGTACAGCTAACCACAGCATTTGATAATGAGAACAAAATTCCACTAAGAAAATCCACGAATGTGTTAGAACCTTTACTCCATGAGAAAAGATGGGGCATGAACATCAAGAAACATTCCACAGGCTGTCTTTAATGTATCCGACAATAAATATCAGTTGATCTGTGTGCGAGATGTCTGGAGTGGAATCTACAATAATACTTTGTAGATTTGTAATATTTTGAATAATACTTTCACTTTTTACTTAAAGAATAGTACAAAGAACCTGTTGTCCTATTAAATTTAATGAATTCCTCCAAATATTTGCAGATAAAATATGACATTCCCATTTCCAGAAATTTCATACTTTAAGATGTTCTTCCAAGAAAGGGTCAAATTCACTCAGCAGCTCTAGTATACCTGAAGTAACCATTTTTTTGCTGCCCAATCTGATTTTCTCCACAAAAATGGCAAACCTCTAGAAGCAAGAAAGCAAATTACAGAACCCACACGTGTCAACACTTTGCTAATATTCCTACTCTGAGCAATGTTGCTCAAGTAATGAAGAATCTACACTTCATTTATTTGCCTTATCAAATATGCCATCTTGCACTTTTGATGTTCTCCATTCTCATGTTCTACAATAACATTGCTGTGCTTCCAGTCATTGAACCCCAGTGTAGCAAAGGGAGATTCTTTCTTGGGCAATAGGTAACATACAAAGCAGTCCAAACGACCTTGGGATGGTGAAGAGTAGCTACTCACGGTTTACTCACACCATTCCGCAGTTCACGTTTGAACACATTGACAAATACCTCGCCTTCGTATTCTCTACTCCAGCTGTTTTACACACAATTTGAAAGGTTGCTATCATGATTAACATAAGGGCCCACTACTAATCCAGTAATTATTGTGTTAATATCATTAATGTCTCAGTCTTTGATCTGCCTCTTGGATTGCAAACTCCTTTACTATTACAGATTTGGATATTTCCTCCAGTAAATGTCACCAGCACCAGGCCTGATGAAACTGGACGATTGGTAGCAGGAATAGATGTAGATGCTTCCTATTCTTGTGTGCGCACCACTCAAAACATTTTCATTTCTGCTGAAAGGGATACATATTCATCTGAAAATACATATCAAATATTTAGTCCCACACCAGGATGTAGGGTTATACAACTGCACTTACAATAAGACCCAAATATTTAAACATTCTGCTTCCATAATGACCATCGGGCCCTTGCAGTAAGACTTGTTTTGTGCACCACATTCTGATGCAGTTAATATTTACGTTGTTCTGTTCAAGTGAGACCTACTGTATGTACTTGTACATGTTTGCACACATTGTACAATACCAGGTACTGTTTTTGTATGCATGCAAAAGTACAGGTTTTAATACAATCCTACCTGGAGAACATTAAAACTATTACAAACAATTGTATTTATTAAGATTACCAGCATTTAGATACGATGCCTGTTTATCACTTTCTGCAATTAGCATCGAAGTACTAAACAGTTTATACAAACTATCTGTATGCAGTCATGTATATATTGTAAATGTGGCGTGAAATAAATTTAGAAATTAACAGTCTCTTCCAAACCTTATTTTTAAATAGATTTACTGTATAATGAATTTCTTTGTTTTAATATACTGTATTAGCAATCAGTGGGGGTTCATTTAATACATATTGATGTAATCAGGCTCCATTAGTATAGTATGCAATTCTACATATGATGTTCCTGTATCATAAACAATAGCTTTATATATGCATGCAACTAACTGGGCAAGTTGAATCTAATCAAGTGTAGTCTTCCAATCTTTAGTAATCTCAAAAATCTTGCTTACCTGGTAAATCTCTTTCCCCCCCCCCCTGGGTCCGTCTAATTACCACAAGCTACACAAAGCTTCCTGGCAATACGTTAGTAATGAACCCAACCTAACCGACGCTTGGATCGTCGACTTTATTTGGCATCACCAGCTCTATTTTCGTCTAATTTCTTTATAAAAAGATAATTTCAGATTAAAATTGTGTTTTTTCGTGTTGTACATTCAGCACCAACATTATAATGAGTAAATATATCATTTATTCATTACTAACGTATTGCCAGGAAGCTTAGTGAAGCTTGTGTTTGTGGGAGAAAGGAATTGGCAAAACGATCAGGGAAAGAGAAGGTCCGCAAAATAACAATTCACTTAGGGTATATTACACTAACAGTAGAAGTCTAAGAAATAAAATTAACGAATTAAATGCTCTTGTCTGCACAGAAAAATAGATATTATTGCACTTACCGAAACGTGGATGAATGTAGAAAATAGAGAACTATTAGCTGAATATCAAATATATGGATTTAAACTATTTCACACAGATAGATATATTAGACGAGGAGGTGGAGTAGCCATATATGTTAGGGACAATTTGAAATGTAGTCTCAAAGAGGGAATCAAAACAGAGCCACACACAAACTATTTGGATTGAATTAAACGAAAAAGCTAATAATATTATAATAGGAGTAATATATAGGCCACCAAATTTAGACAGAATGGAAGCAAAGCATCTATGGGATGAAATATCTAGAGCATCTAGATCTAACAGTATTTATGTCATGGGTGACTTTAATTTTAGCGGAATAAACTGGTTGAACAAAACAGGGAATAGTGAAGCAGAAGATTTTCTAGAATTAATTGACGATTGCTTTCTTACGCAACACATTAAGGAACCAACACGGGAAAATAATATTTTAGATTTAGTGTTAACTAACAGGGAAACGCAAATTAATGACATCGAAATAGGGAGTGAGCTAGGGAGCAGTGATCACAAAGAAATCAGATTTAGCATAGAATGGAATAGACCAGTAGGAGAAAATTCTGTTAAAGTGCCAGATTTTCGAAAAGCTGATTTTATTAGCCTAAGAAATTTTTTGGGTCAAATTGATTGGAAAGGCTTGGGTATGGGGTGTGGGCCGGTCTTGGAGCGAGACATGAACCCAGCGATAGGTGACTTAAATGGGGATTTCGATGTGGATTCAATATATAACTTATTTAAGAATATTCTAAACAAAGCACAGGAACGTAGTATACCATACAAATTGAATAGATCGTATACTAATGACCCAAAGTGGATAACAAAGAATTTGAAGAACCTTATAGGTAAAAAGAGAGCTTGGTACAAAAGGATTAAAAATGGGGAGGTCACTTTAGAACAGGAATTCGTACAACTGGTTAGAAATGTTAAAAAAGAGATAAGGAAAGCAAAAAGAAACTATGAAGTTCGCATAGCAGGGCAAGCAAAGACAAATCCTAAAGGGTTTTTTCAGTTATATCGTACTAAGACTAGGGAAAGGATAGGTCCATTAAAAACTGAGACAGGTCAAATAACAGATAGTGATGAAGAGACGAGTAGTATTTTTAATAAATATTTTGTATCTGTATTTACTAAAGAGGAACTTAACAATATGCCTTCAGCCGAACAAGTCTATGTGGGTGGGGACGAGGACAGGTTGACGAGTTTAGCAGTTACCAGGGAGGATGTTCTTAAACAAATAGTAAAACTCAAACCAAACAAATCCCCAGGGCCGGATGAAGTGTTTGCTAGGGTGCTTAAAGAATGCAAAGAGGAGCTTTGTGACCCACTGTCAACCATATTTAATAAATCAATAGAGTCAGGCAGAGTGCCAGAGTTTTGGAAAGTTGCTAATGTGTTACCAGTTTTTAAGGAAGGAGATAGATCACTTGCGTCTAACTATCGACCAATTAGCCTAACGTCTATTGTGGGAAAGTTACTCGAATCTATAATAGCAAATAAAATTCGTCTTCATCTTGAAAAACATAAATTAATAATTGAGTCGCAACATGGTTTTATAAATGGCCGTTCATGTTTAACAAATTTGTTATCTTTTTATTCTAGCATTGTTGAGGCAGTTGATAGTGGTAAGGATTGCGATGTTGTATACCTTGACTTTAGCAAAGCTTTTGATACAGTGCCACATGAAAGACTGATTAAAAAAAATAGAGTCTCATGGTATTGGGGGTGCTATATTGAGCTGGGTTGGGGCGTGGCTGTGCCGGGGGAAACGGGGAGTTGGTGTGGGTGGAGTCAAGTCAGAGTGGGAGGGTGTTGTGGGTGGGGTGCCTCGGGGCTCTGTCCTGGGACCTCTGTTGTTTGTAGTATATATGGATGATTTGGATTCAGGTTTGGGTAGCAGCATTTGCAGGTTTGCCGGTGGTGCGAGGGTCGGTGGGGAGATTGGTTCGGGGGAGGACTCTGTCACTTCAAGTTGATCTGGATGGGGTTTTGAGGTGGTCGAGGGATTGGCAGATGCAGTTTGGTGCTGATAGGTGTGGAGTTCTGAGGTTGGGTGGTGATGATGGGGTTGCAGGGTGCGAGCTGGATGGTGTTGTGATTGCGAAGTCTGATTGCGAAAGGGATCTGGGAGTTGTGATTGGTGGGAGTTTGGGACGGGAGGATCAATGCATGAATGTTCGTGGTGGGGCGGGTCGGACACTTGGATTTGTTGATCGCGGCGTTGGTGGCGGGACACCTGGTGTGGTTCTCGGGCTGTGTCTTGCTCTGGTTGGGCCCCGTTTGGATTGTGCAGTTCGGTTTTGGTCGCCATATTATAGAATGGATGTGGGTTCGCTTGAACGTGTCCAGCGTGGGATGACTAAGTTAATTCCCCAAATTGGAAATCTTTCATGTGGGGAGGGATTGACGGAGCTTGGGTTGCGTTCGCTGGAAGGGCGAGGGGTTGGGGGTGACGTGATGGAGGTTTGCGGGTGGATGAATGGACATAACCGGGGGGATATTGATAGGGTATTAAAAGTATCAACACAGGACAGAACACGAAACAATGGATATAAATTGGATAAGTTTAGATTTAGGAAAGACTTGGGTAAATACTGGTTCAGTAACAGGGTTGTTGATTTGTGGAACCAATTGCCGCGTAACATTGTGGAGGTGGGGTCCCTCGATTGTTTCAAGCACGGGTTGGACAAGTATATGAGTGGGATTGGGTGGTTATAGAATAGGAGCTGCCTCGTATGGGCCAATAGGCCTTCTGCAGTTACCTTTGTTCTTATGTTCTTATGTTCTTGTGCAAATAATTATCTAAAGAAGGCACCAAACCGGGAAGGCTATGTAGCACCATCAAATGTGCGGAATAATCAGAGGGCGCTAAATATCACCAAGGATGCCAATACGAGAACAAAAAACGCACAAGGCGAACGATATCAAAAAGTATTCAAGAATTCTATCGAGGGACAGGTGACCGCGAGGGGCGGTCGGAAAGCAAGACACGCTCGTTCTGGAAGCAAGGACATGCACGACCGTAAGAGGGACAATGCAATTAGGACAATAAGGAGCAGGGCGGCACTCCATCAAGCGAACACGAGTTAAGCGAGTATAGCCAATACGCAACGTCGCCAAAGCCGTTTCCCCATCGCCGGTTACGGTGGTAGGAGGACGGCCACGAGGAAACATTTAAGAGTACGTAGTTCTTACCATAAATGCTAGGTAGCACCATGTGGTTAGATACCAAGACTATCCTTATCTGTATTTGGTTTGTATTCAAGGGATTGCGTTTTAATTCTCAGTAGGTTCAAAGCTCTTTGAATTTTATAGGTTTTAGTTTTATTAAATGCTTACATTACATGTTAAAATTGTAATCACTTGTGCAATAAATATATAATCATGTGTACATTAAAGCAGGTGGCAATAATTATTACCAATTACAATACTTTAAGTACACGTAACCGTCTCTGTAATTACTTCGACAACAGTAGTAGTCGATTCTACCAGGTTTAGCGTAGTTACTATAGGCTCGGTCTGGACCTGCGGACGGTTATTACAAGTTAATAATGTACCACAATTAAAATATGAAAGTAAAAACTTCATTAATTCATTGTTAACGTTTGCAAATTACATTGTCTGTGACGGTGACGTGAGTTACGAAGACGTTGTCTGCCGTTCTCACTGTGTCCGATTCCTCCGTCCTTGGCACGCTCACCACCTGTAATTTATTTCCAAGTACAATGGATTTGAGATTACACGCGATTGGTAGCTTTACATACATGCAAAAACTCAGCATTTCGGGCTTGTTAAGCCAACATCAGGCAAGATGAAAAAATAAATTCTAGCAAGGTTTATTATCAAGATAACAGGACTACACCGGTAAAAAATATATTTAGCAATATTGGGGAAAGTGTTTTAAAAGATGTAGTGCGCGTTTGAAGCACAAAGTAGGGAACTAGACGAAATTAGGTACTTTTTGGTTTTACTGTTGAGTAGGGCAGGGGGGGGGGGGAGGTTTAAGATTTTTGTAATGCATCAGGGAGCGATTTCCAAAGATTTTGCTTCTATTTGCATTGAGGGTTTGCAGATTTTGTCTGAGGGTACAAGATATTTCTGGTGTGGTGCTCATGCGTTATGTAACAATTATCAATGAATGGTTTTAGATCTTTAACATTTAAGAACAATGTTCCGTATATTTAGATAGCAGGAGAATAAAGAGATGGTATGTTAAATTAGTGTTTTAAACACTTGCAAATCATTTATGTATACAAGAAATAGAGGCATCAAGATATTGCCCTGTGGTACTCCTAATGCCAATGGTAGAGTAGGGGAGATTATGCCACTGCTGGGTATACATTTTATGCGTCACTCTTGGCAACTACTATAGTCCAGAGCAAGGACATACCATAGTGAAGCTTAAGAGGTGGTTATGGTTCAGTATCAAAGGCCTTTCGCAGGTAAATTAAGAGGCCAATTGGGAATTATGGCTGTATAGGTTATAGCAAGTAGATAAAATTAATCTATCACTTATAAGAATGAAGCAACACTGGCAGTGGTTCATGTTTAGTTTTATACGATTATGAAAAAAAGTTTTTAAATAATTTCAATTTGAAAGTATAGGTAGATTTGATATTTACGTCAGCTGTGTACTATATGAACTGAATTTTTTTTTCCAAGAAAGAAAATAGTTTTTTTGAATTACAGAGCCGTGTGTAGTTAGAGGGGGGGGGGGGTGGCAGCACTATTATATCAGTCTTAATTAGTATTCCCAGCTTGTGTTTCACGTGAATTATGGATATAATACCTGTCGGGATTGGCATCAGGAGTTTAGAGGATAGCTGCCCGTGAGCCATGTAGTAACGCCTTTCTGTCTTACTGGGACTTTTCTGGCACGGTTAGTACCAATTTGAGAGAAACTAATCAATTGCAATATTCAAGGGTTGCAAATAACCATCACAATCGCCACTACCAGTATACTTTAATACGCAAGCTTAATTTTATTTAACACTTTATACATACCCCTGTGCAGACTATCATTAATTGGCACGAGTCTTTCACTCCCACTGTGGTTACCACGTCGACCGTGCGGGTTACTGTCGAGACTTCGTTCTGTGGGGGTTATGCCAGTCATAATTAAGAAATTTGATTCTAATAATTTTCCATAGGCATAGAGTATTGGTCAAGTTTACTTACATAGACTGTAAGAGTAGAGGTTTCGGGCTTTCCGAAGGGGAGCGGCACGCCGGTGCATTGAGGTTGGGATGTTTTGCCATTTACCTGTTTAAAATAAAATTTGTTTTAAGGCTTTAAAAGAATCCATCACAAAAAAAAAAAAGCGTATAACAAAGAAACTTACCAGACTAAGGAGTCCGATGATGATCAGGGGATATATGGCCATCTGCAAGTGAAAGTTCATATTAATAATTATTAAATTACTTTTAAACCCTCCCTCCCATTGTACAGTGGGAATTTACAACCAGTTACATTAGAGGTTTAGCCATTATATTTAATTTCAGTGGAAATAACTTTCCAAAGCCTTATCGAATATGTAGCGAGTACAAACAATATACTCACTCCAACTTTTCATTAGCTTAATGAATTTAGCACTAATTGCAGTAGCTATAATCTGATTACAGGCAACAGTTCTTCCATCCTCCTATCTTAGGAGGAAGCCGAGGGGTAGTCACTGAATATAAGCAAGCGATAAGAGAATAGCCAACATTATAATCTCCAATCAAGAATGTAGCACTTCATGCAGTTCGAGTCGACCCCAAAACGCTAGAGTTTCGACACAGAACAGACAGCAAACTAGGACCGCACCCAGCTACAACGCTCTCCCACGGAGCTCCGCGACTCGTGCCTCACTCGGCTCCGTGCTTCAAGCTTTGTCGCAATGTCTACGACACTGCTGTATCCAAGACTACCAAATAAATATGCAACCCCACTAATCTACGTAACAAACGTGTGTTACAAATAAAATTATATTCAAAAAGAACAATTCTTTACACATTAGAGGGATCGTAATGTATAAAAATGAAAGTTTGCAATATTTTCCCCTAATCAAGTATTTACTATACCGGGTAAAGTCTTCTAGAGGTATTACTGAGAGACGCTTTAGACTAATGAAATGTTATCCCAGAAGCAAAAGAGCTCAAGTGACTAGAGGAGGGAAGGACACGGGGAGGATACAAACTTAAAACCAAAAACCTCAGCAATATGTAGACTTAAGCGTATCAAACACGGAGAGAGGAGTGAGGAGCGAAGGTCAGCGAGGTCCGACGTTACCTCTTCCACCAAACACTTATGTAGAATATTGCTACAAAGACTCGAAGCTTGGTGAAGCTCAGCGCTTCCTCACACACCCGTCCTCCCTTTCCCCACTCATCTCCCGGGTCGAATGGAACCTCTCTAAATGGTTCCTCAACGTCAGACCGTCGTCTTCAACAAAAGTCAAATGTGCATTGCATACAGCCGCCAACTCTGTTTATGAATAAAAAACGCTACACTCCAACCCATCCTCAGGCCAGGCTCGTTACAGCTGCTCCTGTCCCCCTCCCCCCCTACCCCCCACCCAAGAGACGCATTCATCAATTTTCAAATACTTGTGTATTAAAAAGTGGTTTGTTCTCATATATAAGTTACTATTATTATATTTTAAATTTCTATGTATAGTTAGGCGTTGGTTAGCTTAGGTTAGGTGTTCAGGGTATGTTGACGATTATTGGAATTTGAAGTACGTGGGTGAACCATTTACAGAGAAGCTATTCGAATAGTGGTCATTGGCAAAGCATTCTCCGAGAAATATTCGAACGTCATCAGTTATGAATCGTGTAAATAGCAGCCCGTCCTCCAAACAAAGATCCAAAAGTGATTCCATGCAGCCGCCAAACCCCCTGTTTATGAATGAAAAGCGGTTTACACACGACTCACAACTGCTGACGTTCGAACATATCCGGAACAAGTGCTTCATTGACGAATTTTGTTCGAATCACAACGCTATAAATGCTTCACCCACGTACTACAAATACAAATAATCGTCAACAGAACCTAAACACCTGACCTAACCTATCCTATGCCTATATATGCACAATATGCCAATATATTATAATATTAATTTATACTTGAGAAAATTCCCGTTTTGAATGAACAGCATGTTAAAATTTATGAATGCGTCTGTTGGGTCGACCGCTGAATGTAATGGACTTGAGTAGAGGACGGGTTGTGTAAACCATTTTCATTCATAAACAGGGAGTTAGGCGGCTGTACTAACAACCATTTGGCCTTTATCATCAACAAATTCCTGATTTTCTTCCAAGTAACTTTTAGACCGTAAGCTTGAATATTCTAGTGTGACCAAAAATCTTAAATTGTACAAAAGACTGTAATTACAACATGTTTAGGTGTCAGGTTGTGTTGAACCTTCGTGCCATCTATTGACAGAAGGTAAAACTAATGACGGCTTTGCAACTCGCTGCCACACACCTCCAGTATGTTCCGTGTCGTTCCAAGTCCTCCCTGTTGTCAGCCAATCTTAGCAGTGTAGTTTGAGGAAAAGTCTGGAAAGGGTGTGTTTCTTTCAAGGTTAGTTTTCATGTCTACTTTTTGTTGTATTGAATTATTTCTAGTTTTACATAACGGGGTTTTAAGTGTTTGTAACCATTAAAGTAGGTACCGAGTGAATTTAATTGTAAATAAAATATCCTTATTTAAATTTGACTCTTTGTTGTCTACCGTTTCTTGATAATTACCGGGCTACGTAGAGTTAACTCTGCTGTTCGTTAATGAATTCAGTTCGATTTATCAACAACTGAGGGCGTGGGTTATTTTAAATTGTTGATGTCTTCTAACTCGTAAGACATTTTGCAGTCTTGGAGCCATAATCTCAAAGATGAAGCGAGAAACTCTAGGGCATCCCTTGATATACTATTGTGCAGATTTGCATCTTAATCTTTTTAAGTTTATCGACACTGTTAACTTACATAAAGTAACCTAAATTCGTAAGTTGAATAAGGTTACTGACTTGGGCGTCTAATACTATAGACATTGACCAATTTGGCTTGTGCCAAATTATCTTAATCAAATTAGATTTGGGTCTATTCTCAGGTCGCTTTCCTTTTTATACAGGGATCGTACCTTTGCGTACTTCTTACTGTGCGTATTTTCACTTGTTCCTTTCCTGATAACATAAATTTGGGCTTGGTTAGTTCAGTATAAATTTTAAAACTACCACCTAGTGTAACGTTCCCTTGCTGAGCGTCCCATCCCACCTTCCTCTGGTCCTAATCGTGTCACTAATTTCTGCTGCGGATATTGCCATGGAAGTGTCGGGTCGTTGACTTTAGTAATAAGGTGGGTCCTAATAGCGGCCCTCGCAGCACTCCTTGTTATCGCTCAATACAGACCTATCTCATTGTTACTGTTACCTTTCGCTGAATTCCTGAGGTACGCCCTCATCCACTACGCTCACACTAATTTGCTTATCTGTCTTGGACTGTATAAAATCGTGAACAGTATGCAGGCTCCCAGCCTTCTTTACTTCCATTGTCTTTAATTTTGGCTTGAGCAGAATCTTGCTTTTCTAAATCTATCGAGGCAATAAGACAAATTTGGTAGTTTGAGATTGATGTAAACAATCTCTAGTAACTTGCAAAAGGTGAATTTAAGATTATTAAGCTGTAGTTTATTCGTAATCTTCCCTTGCTATATTGGCACCCCATTAGCCATTCTCCAACCGTCTGGAAGCTTCCCGATATAGTTTTAATATTAAAGCGTAGGGGCTAGTGCTTACGTTCTCTTGTCTGGAGTTTTAAGTTTCCTTTGGTCCCTTCTACATAAGGGACTCGTCTGTGGCTTAGATTCAGCTTCAAACTTGGTTTTCCATTAAGAACTGAATTATACCCCCCTTTCCCCCCCCCCCCTCCCCATTGTTGTCGGATCAAAGAATTTGTAGCTGGAGTGGGCAAATATTGGCGTACCAGTTTGAAGGACAGTTTCTGGAAGTTGGGTCACTGACTTAACATTATGCCAGTCATGGTTGCTGAATGTTCCCTTTGACAATTCTTGTCCCTCTAATGTTGCTTCTGTGGCTAATGTTTAGTTGCAAGTAGTGGAATGGATCTTGCCTTGCCCCCCTCCAAACCATTCCTACAAATTATCTTAATTGTTTAATCAATTAAGTTCCTCTAACTTTCCACCACCGCCCACGGGATGGATATGGGATGCATAATGACAACTTCTATTTTCCCTACTCGTCATATTCAGAGTAAACCCTCTACCGTGTATGCAAGGGTCCATTTTCAATTTAAATGAGATTCTTGGTGTTTCTAGATTAGGATTCTCAGATTCTGTAGCCTAATTCTTCAGTTTTCCTGTGCTGCAGTTTGTAAACCCATTCCACATTACTCGCAACTTGGGGCATAGTACCTGCTTATAGTACACCCAGGAGATTTACGTTAGTTCCCCAAAGCATAGTCAGCTTTGGTTCCTGCTGTCCGGTAGGCTTTGAATGATTAGTTCTCTCCTTTTCAATGGTATTAAGTGGAATTTGAGGGTAACTGTCTACCACTTTACTGTAACTCTTTGGACAATGAATATTGTTCAGGCGTTAGTTGATCCTGTAGCTTGTTTTGACTGTCGTAGACTTCCCTCGTGTGCTTTCTCTAGTTCTTCTCCAAATTTTGCTTTATCTTTGTTCGCTGGCCCTTTCATTTAGCTAATTTTTATCTTCAAAATCTCATTTTCTTGTCCTTTAAAGGACAAATTGTCTTTTAAATTTTGGGAGTTTTTTTATATATATATATATATATATAATCGCTTTCTAGTGCATATTTATAGTATATAAGCGTTTTCCCACCAGGTGACTTGGGAGTGAATCATTATGGAATGGCTTACCTCTTCAGAGTCTCGGGCCGTTAATGATAATGTGTTGGAGAGCCCTAATAAGCTTAGCCAGTCTCTAAGTGATATTTCCAATGTGCACAAACCATGGGTGTCCAATGGGGGGCTCGTTGCAAAAAACAAATATGTGCACAGTGCAAAAAGTTGCCTTGAAGCTCGATCGCTTGTACAGTGGGATTCTAGCGATGCTTCCACAATTAATGAGTGCACTACAGAACTTGAAGAAGGGTCGTTAATGAATGTAAAGGAAAAAGATAAGAGTTTTAATTCTAGAACTCTGGCCTACCATGAAGGCTGTAACGGCCAAGAATTGTATATGGACGATGAAAGTGAAGATGATATGCTTAATCATTTAACCAGTTCTTATGTGGACCAGGATGACTCTTGTGACGATTCACCCTTGAATAAATCTGCGTTTTCACTCAACAGCACCCTTGAGCTACTAGAAGACTTCTTGATCTCTCCTTTCCGTAGGATCCATGACAAAGTAAGGAAGAAGCTCCAAACGGTGGCATCGCCAATCAAATATGAACATCTTGATGAAAATGGAAATTGCATTAAATTTTTGGAGGATGAGAAGGAAACTTCTTGTATTAGAGGAATCTTACAATGCGACACGGTGTTAGATGATGAAAGTCCATTGTCATCAAATCTCTCATCGCCTCATTTGGATAGTACTATGCAATTCTCTGAGGATGCTTCAACTAGCTATCAAGGAGCATTAAGTAACGACTGCATATTAGGAGTGGAAAAATCTTTTGATGTCAGTGTTAATAATGCTATAGAGGCTGAAGAAGAGGACAAGACGCCAAGGGCACCGTGGAACTCTCCGGTATTAGACACTGAAGAAACAAATTACAAAACCCCGAAATCGGAGATTGAACAAATGGTGTCGTGGCATTCGCCATTATTTAGAAAACTGATTAATTCCCCTTTGCTTAATAAATTTGAAGCAAAGTCTGAAGGTTATTTGTGCCATATCCATGCTCCTTCGTGGCTGGTGTGGCGTCCCAAGATGCAGGCCTTCATCTGCAACTTTGAAAATAAAGATGAGATCAAATTGCAAGTTGATCTAATGTTGGAAGAACCAAATCCAGAAGAACACTTTAATATTGTTCGTGGCCACGACAATTCAGCACCAGGTATGTTTTACTTTATTTAATACTGTACATAGTATTTGGTGTGGTTATGCTCCAAAAACGCAAGAATTGACTTGGTAAGTCGGCTCTTGTACATGAATTTCGCAGTGAAATTCCACCCGTATTTTCTTGCAAAATTAAATTATATAATTCACAAATTTCAGAAAACTTAATTAGCTTTGGTTGTTCTGACCCTCGACAAGTTATTGCTCTTTCTATATAGATAAATGGGGAAAAAATCCCTAGTATTACCCTGATAAACTAATATACTAACTTGATATTAAAAGCTAATCTTTCATGACCTGGAAAACAGGCTTTTACTTCAGTGTACTGAATAGTTGTCTTGCCTAGTAATAATTTTGCATTACAAAAATTTATTGTATTGGTATTACAGAGGTGGGCGAGGAGCGTATACTGTACATACCTCGCGGCATGGTGTGGGTACGGACCTCCAGCTCCGGCTTCCTCACCACCAGGGCGCGGCTTGAGCAGCTCACCTTGTCCCACACACTACCTAGTACCTGGCGGGTTGTTTCTAGGAAAACTAAGGTCACAAGGTTAAAAAAATCCTATGGCAAGTATCTTCATTTATAATGGAACTTATCGCATTAATGAGTAAAGAGGAATGAGTTATATTATAAAGGCTGCTCAATTTTATTTGGTTTGAGGCTGTTAAAATTAAATTTAGAATTCGGACCCCCTTGTACATTATATTAGTAGCTAAGTAAATAAGAGTAACCTGTTATTGTCGAGACGCCGACTACGGTTTTTGGGAAAGTGCTTATAGTAATGTGAAATATATATTATAAGCACATGCTAATGTTTGGAGACATGCATTGAATGATTGTAAATGTTTAATTTTACCAAGCTGCCTAGACAATGTAATAAGTTATGTACAACAGTATCTAATTTAGTAGCCCCCTGTACTAGTATTAATGTACGTATAGTAAAAAAATATCTATCCTACTAACGTATGCAATGTACAAAAACCTAACATACCTCCTGATGTAGGCATTATATATAAAAGCATTTTTAGACTTTTGTAATATCCAGTGTAAAATTTTATTAAATTTTATCTGTACAGTATACAGTACTTGGTCATAGCCTAATTACTACAGTGTCTAGCAGGCGTAAAATCCCTATAATATACATTAATAACAAATGTTTATAAATCATAATAACCTTATGTTTTTATTAGTCTTCAAAAATAAAAATGCACATGTTTAAATTAAAGGATATGTTAATATAATAAATAACGTTTAATTGTGGATATTTGTCATTTTGTAATGTTCGCCTTGTGGGTTTTTCTCATTGGCATCCTTAGTGATATTTAGCGCCTTAGGGAGCCGGTCGGCCGAGCGGACAGCACACTGTACTTGTGATCCTGGGTTCGATCCCAGGCGCCGGCGAGAAACGATGGGCAGTTTCTTTCACCCTATGCCCCTGTTACCTAGCAGTAAAATAGGTGCCAGGGTGTTAGTCAGCTGTCACGGGCTGCTTCCTGGGGGTGGAGGCTTGGTAGAGGACCGGGCCGCGGGACACTAAAAAGCCCCGAAACCTCAAGATAACAAGATAGCCTTATGATTATCCCACACATTTGATGGTGCTACATAGCCTTCCCGGCTTGGTGCCTTCCTTTGATAATTACTTGTCATTTTTAAATGTACTTAGTAACAATAAATCCCTTTGGTATTAATATAAATATTTAAATTTTGTAAAACTTTTAAAAATATTAACGTTTCATTAAAGTAAGTCTTTCTGAAGCGGATACATATTTAAGCACACCACATAAACCTCATAACTGCCCGTCATGTACAGACCCACTATGATAAATTAATTTTCCTAGTACAGTATCTCTGGTTTAAGACAATTAATTCTACTAGTTCACAACATACCAAGCCAAAAGAGTTTTGAAATTTCTATATTTGATCTGCAATAGTAACCTATAGGTGGCTTTATTAGTCAATAATTTATCCTTAGTGAGCATACTTGCTCTTGCTTATTTAACCAGTCTTCCATTGGACTTGTCGAGAAGTGATAAAAAAATTAAGTTTATTTTGAATGATTAATGTAGTACAATACTGCATTAATTTGAAATATATTCGACCCGCCTAAAAGGTCTGATGCTGAAATTTAGCAGAGTATTTGAAAATGGGTTTCACTTGCTAAAGAATTTATCAGACTTTTTATTGTGAATAAACTTTTTCTAAAATATTGCTGGTTCTCAATGTGCTTCTAATAACAATGTTTAACAATGTGATATGCAGCTAACAAAATCCACAATTCCGAATAAACTGGATTTATATTTTAAACGGCTTGTGTGTAAGTAAACATAAAAGGGTTAAAGAATAGTTTAACAGCCCATCTTCCTGAATTGATTAGCAACTTTGTCAAAAGTACCAATAAATACTTTGACTAAAACCACTAAAATGTTTTTCTATTGAGGCTTGGTGGCGTCCTTGGTGATATTTAGCGCCCTCTGATTATTCCGCACATTTGATGGTGCTACATAGCCTTTCCGGTTTGGTGCCTTCTTTTGATAATTACTTATTGAGGCTTGGCCAACTATGAAACTTTTAACAGCATGTAGAACATAACCACTCCCAGCAATTCTTGGCCTAATACACGCCAACTTAGGCCTAGTATTATGTGGTATACTAGACAGACATGTTTGGTTTTTAGCTATTTTTTCAGGTCTTTTGTAAAATTAAAAGTACAAAAGGAAATTTGGTTGTCCATCACTACTTCGCTTCAAAGATAAAAAATATTGGTGGTCCATCGCTTCAAAGGTATACTTCATGTCTGTGTATTAAGCAATTGTATTAAGTTTGCCTTAAGCAATATTCGGACAAAAAAATAATACTGGCTGGGTCGGCATAAGGTCTGTTGGTGTAAAGAACCCTCCTGTGGCTTCGCCTACACTCATGAACACCAACTTATGTACAACAGCAAACAGGAGCATGTTACGTGTGCTAATTGACGTTTAGCTTGTACTATGTAGATTAAGAGTTCTGTTTACAAGTCTGCAAAATTGACGAGAACAGAGATCTCGTAACTTGTTTCTATTAATGGGCCCTGGTAATACTGTTGGGTTCGTTCTCAACTCAAAATCGAATTCTGGGTTCGAATACCGGGCGGGGTAGAAATGGCTGGGCGAGTTTCCTATCACTTAATGCCAGCCCGTCCTCCAAACAAAGATCCAAAAGTGATTCCATGCACCCGCCAAACCCCCTGTTTATGAATGAAAAGCGGTTTACACACGACTCAAACTGCTGACGTTCGAACATATCCGGAACAAGTGTTTCACTGACGAATTTTGTTCGAATCACGCTATAAATGCTTCACCCACGTACTACAAATACAAATAATCGCCAACAGAACCTAAACACCTAACCTAACCTAACCTATGCCTATATATGCACAATATGCTAATATATTATAATATTAATTTATACTTGAGGAAATTCCCGTTTTGAATGAGCAGCATGTTAATATTTATGAATGCGTCTGTGGGGTTGACCGCTGGATGTAATGGACTCGAGTCGAGGACGGGTTGGTAAATAGGTACCCAGGAGTTAATCGGCTTTTTATGGGGTTGCATCCTAGGGGGCGAGGGACCTCGATATAAATAAGCCTAGCGTGTGTATATGTATATACACATACACTGGATGCCTGTCCCCCTACACAATGCATTATTATTGCCTAAAAATAGGTCAACCTTGATATTAAAAATTTAAAATTTGGTATAATTTGGTAAAATTTAAAATCTGGTATAGGCCGCACGAGGTCCTCTACCAAGGTCAGCGGTACTACACAAGACAGCTCAGGAGACAGTTGCACAGGGGAAACCCGCCCTCGACTCAAGTCAATTACATCCAGCGGTCGACCCCACAGACGCATTCATCAATTTTAACATACTGTTCAGTCAAAACGGGAATTTTCTCAAAATCGTATTGGCATCCTTGGTGATATTTAGCGCCCTCTGATTATTCCGCACATTTGATGGTGCTACATAGCCTTCCCGGTTTGGTGCCTTCTTTTTGATAATCAATTAATTCTCAAATAAAAATTATTATAAGATAGTAGTATATTGTGCATATATAGGCATAGATTAGGTTAGGTGTTTAGGTTCTGTTGGCGATTATTTGTTTGTAATACGTGTGTGAAGTATTTATAGGGTTGTGGTTTGAACAAAATTCGTAAGTGAAGCACTTGTTCCGGAAGTGTTCGAACGAAATCGGTTGAGTCGTGTGTAAACCGTTTTTCATTCGTAAACGGAGGGGTTTGGCGGGTGTATGGAATCCCTTTCGAGTCCGTGACCGTCTTCCCTTGCCTGTGCAGTCCGTCCTCCCTTTGGAGGACGGACTGCACAGGGGGCAAGGTCACGGGCGGCCTGATTCGAGCGCTTCGAGACCGGGCACAAGTCGGCGGAACTGTCTACACTCAAGGTCACGCAACACAGCAGCTGCTTCGACAACCTGAGGCACCGGGTAGAAATAGCCTTAGCTACTCTATCCCTTTGAGATGTATTTCCTTCTCATCTTAAACATACTTGAACTTGAGGCATCGTCCACACACCAACACAGACGGTATTGCAGGAATGTCCATGGAGACACTCACCGCACCCAATTTTCCCTGGATTGGAAATGTGCAAATGTTACCCCCATTTTTAAGAAAGGAAGAAAGAGCTCGGCAGAAAACTACCATCCGATCAGCTTGATATCACACATCTGCCTCTCGTGGAGAGAATCTTAAGGGAATCATACAACATATCGCAGCAAACAATCTTGTAAAATCAACGCATCACGGATTTGTTAAAAAATAGATCCTGTCTCCCTCACCTGCTCACATTTCTGGAAACGGTAACCGGCTATTCAGACAAAAGACTTCCGGTAGATGTAGCTTACATTGACTTTGCTAAAACTTTTGACAAGGTACCACAAATGAGACTGGCAAGGAAATTACAGGCACATGGAATAAATGGGAGAATACTGGAATGGATAAAACAATGGTTAAAACAGAAAACAAAGGGTCGTGCTAAATAGAAAAGATCATCCGGGCAAATGGGGAGAGCTTTGACAAACCGCCAGCTTTCTATCTTCGTCTGTTTTTACTCTCGGGTAAATTTAGTGTCTTGAATGACCTTCTAATGCTTTGCCAGTGCCAGCTTCCTATTTGCTACAGACGTTACCCTCTGTGTGCGTGTGTGCGCACCTTTAGTGTTGGAAATATATCCACTCTCAAATCTTTCTTTTAGTCTTACCCTTTTAGGGTAAATGCCTCCTAGTCTACTTTCCCTTTCACTTGCTAGAATTGAATTTTAACAGCCATTTGTCTGTTCACTCCTGGAGTTTATATAAGTCTTCCTATAATTTTATGCAGTCCTCTTTTTAAACTCTTTTTTTTTTAACATTAACTTCAATTGTCTAGTGTTTCTGGCCATCTGTTGTCACCTCTCCTTGCACTCTAATCGGGTTCTAGTAGGACCTGAAAAGGGCTGCACTGCTGTCAATGCAGCTGGACCACTAAAGTTTGAAAATGTACTTTTCCCAGTGATTTTTGCATCAAAAGCATATTACTGTACATCATTTAAATTAACAAAAACCTAATTGAACCTCTGTATTACTGATGATTAGATACAATGAAAAATCCATTGCATCAGAAGAGGTTTGAAACCAAGACAGTTTCCAATTTTTTATTTTTGTCAGGCAATGGGTCATAATGTGTAAATATGAAGGCATGTACCAAAACATATTTGACCATCCTTTTGTGTCATACCGTAATACTGTATTCTATAATTTCCAAGCGAACTCCTTGCCCCAAAGATAGTGAAGAAGTTGATGTTATGATAACCTCATACATTGAATTAGGGAACAAAATTTTGTGTGTATGTATGTATATATGTGTGTGTGTGTATGTATGTATGTATGTATATATATATATATGTCGTACCTAATAGCCAGAACGCACTTCTCAGCCTACTGTTCAAGGCCAGATTTGCCTAATAAGCCAAGTTTTCATGAATTAATGTTTTTTCGTCTACCTAACCTACCTAACCTAACCTAACCTAGATTTTTTTGGCTACCTAACCTAACCTTACCTATAAATATAGGTTAGGTTAGGTTAGGTAGGGTTGGTTAGGTTCGGTCATATATCTACGTTAATTTTAACTCCAATAACAAAAAATTGACCTCATACATAGAGAAAAGGGTTGCTTTATCATTTCATAAGAAAATATTTATAGTAAATATATTAATTCAGGAAAACTTGGCTTATTAGGCAAATCGGGCCTTGAATAGTAGGCTGAGAAGTGAGTTCTGGCTACTAGGTACGACATATATATATATATATATATATATATATATATATATATATATATATATATATATATATATATATATATATATATATGTCGTACCTAGTAGCCAGAACTCACTTCTCAGCCTACTATGCAAGGCCCGATTTGCCTAATAAGCCAAGTTTTAATGAATTAATTGGTTTTCGACTACCTAACCTAACTTTTTCGGCTACCTAACCTAACCTAACCTATAAAGATAGGTTAGGTTAGGTTAGGTAGGGTTGGTTAGGTTCGGTCATATATCTACGTTAATTTTAACTCCAATAAAAAGAAATTGACCTCATACTTAATGAAATGGGTAGCTTTATCATTTCATAAGAAAAAAATTGGAGAAAATATATTAATTCAGGAAAACTTGGCTTATTAGGCAAATCGGGCCTTGCATAGTAGGCTGAGAAGTGCGTTCTGGCTACTAGGTACGACATATATATATATATATATATGCCGTACCTAGTAGCCAGAATGCACTTCTTGGCCAACTATGCAAGGCCAGACTTGCCTAATAGGCCGAGTGATTTTCTTTATTTTCAATAAAATGTTTCCAATACGTTTATTTGAATTATTATTAATATATTATATAAGGAACATAAATTATTGACTTAGTTGTGTTAGTTTAGGTTAGGTTAGGTAAGGTTAGTTGGGTTCGGTCATATATCTACGTTAGTTTTAACTCAAATTTCAACAAATTAACTTATAAATAATGAAATGGACAGATTTATCATTTCATAAGAAAAGAAATGAAGAAAATATATAAATTCAGGAAAATTTGGCTTATTAGGCAAATCGGGCCTTGCATAGTAGGCCAAGTACGACGTTCTGGCTACTAGGTACAACATATATATACTGTATATATATATATTATTAAATATATAATATATATATATAAATAAAAATGCACACACACATATACACTTTGTCACCAACCTGGCTCAAAAGCTAAAGTGGAAATTTTTGTACGTCTGAAATTATGCTTCGGCAACTGAAAAATCTCAAAACACTTACCCAGTAGACACAAATAAAACAACCCAATACAAAATCAAGTATTTATTTGCATATTTTACTTGCATCCTCATTCTGACATAATGCTTGCATTCATACACCATGCATTCAAAGACCCAGAGGTATGGGCTTTGCATGTGTGGGCATTGTTGACCATTATTGAGAGTATTAATGCATTAAAATTGAGAAATTCTTTTACATAAATGCAATTCATTTACTTTTATCTATGCATGTTGATATTATATACTGAATATATGTATGTGTGTGTGTGTGTATTTGTATATAGATATAGATATATATTTGTATGTAAAGGTTGTCGCTTTAGTCCTGGATTGCCCACACTGCAAATGACATTCTTTAACAAATTCTTACAAATACTGAAAACAAGTAGTGAGTAGTAATTTACAACAGGCACTTTTTCCAAAACAAAGCACCCTTTAAGTTGGTTTACATTTATTCATGTCTTATATAATTAAACATAAAATATATATAAACTGAATTTTAAAAATGATCAATTTCAAATATCTTTTGTTCATAAGGAAATGAAAACAAAAATATAATTTAAAATATCCTAAAGAGATCGGGTTTCAAAGTCCTATGCTACTACTGACATAGCGTTTAGCTAATAAACAAATTAAATGAAGACATGGTCATAAAATTCACATACTAAACAACGTATCACATTTAACATGGTCACGGATAATGAACACTGTCTAATCTGATGAGAGCCACCGTGATAAGTTATGTGCACAAGAGGGCTCCCTTATACTCCCATAATGTGAAAAGTTCATAATGCCGAAAATAAAAAGTCAAATGAATGCCAACTCTTTAAGTTTGACAACCATACTAATTTAGAATGCACAATTGTGCTCAGGATGCCGCTAATGAGCACAGCTATCACAGAGCAACCCATGAAAGACACTCCTTTATTTCACCACTACAACTATATTGCAAACTGTTCCTCGTGAACACTGTACACAACGGTCCATGCCGTATTTTACTTGGCCAACAATAAATGAAGGTCCATATATAGTTGATTGTACTCATTTGAACACTAAGTACAGCAGGATAGTTATTAGCGCATTATTTACAGAGCAGGACAAAATTAGTCCAGGCAGATATGGTACATGCAGCACTGTACACAGAAGGACTATTGGCACAAAATAGATTTCAGGATCTAAATGTAGATAGAGCCCTGTGAAGGTAGTCCAAGAGGTTGTGGAGGGCCCTGCTGCTGTTGCTGCTGCTGCTGCTGTTGTTGCTGCTGCTGCTGTTGCTGCTGTTGCTGCTGTTGCTGCTGCTGTTGCTGCTGCTGTTGCTGTTGCTGCTGCTGTTGCTGCTGATGCTGATGCTGTCCCCCAGGGAAAATCTGATGATGAGGGGGTATCCCTGGAGGGCCCAGCGGAGACCTTACTCCTTCAGACCAATCACTCTGGCTTCGAGGTGATGCAGAGGACCACTGGCCTGGGGACTCTGGGGATGGTGTAGGAAATGCATCATGCGTAGTTGGAGCAACACTATGCTGTGGTGTTGCCTCAACTCCTGAGTGTTGTGATGGTGGGGTTGGGAAATGTGGATAAAACCCACTACTTCCTTGATGTTGCTGCTGCTGACCTTGCAGACTATATGCAGTAGCACTTCCAGTTGGGAATTCAAATCCCGAAGTAGCTGTTGCATGCCTTAATGCAGCCATGTGTGTGGGAGAAGTGGGTAAAGCAGGCCGCATTTTGCCTGGAGAGGTTACAAGGCTTGATGTATGTGGTGACTGCACATGTTGTGGAGATGAGTGAGGTGGAGTCATGTGGTGTGGTGGAGACATAGTCTGACTCTGAGGAGAGAAAGAAGCTGGCATCGACTGCTGTCGTTGGTGAATCACATGACCTTGTTGGTGCTGGTGTTGATGAGTTCCCATCATATTTGAATAGCTGAAGGGATTATTATCATGGTCAATGTGTGGAAGATTACTCAATGACACTGCACCCTTTACACACTCTTCATATGGTGGAGGCTGAGTTACTCCCACCTCTGCAAAATGTGGGTTCAGTCCACTCATGCCACCAGTAAATAAGCCTGTTTCAAAAGGACTTGAAGCAGCATCAAATACTCCATGTGGTGAACCTAAAGAGTTGAGAGGTGAGGGCTGAGTTTGGGATTCCACACTGGGCACCCCATTAGGTTCACGTTTCTTTTTAACACTGGAACTACGCTTAATCGATGTCGTACCATCAGGGCTTACTGGAGTATTTATGGATCCCCCTGGAAGGGACATAACTGAAGACTTTGGCCGTCGAGCTTTAGCTTTTGGCTGAGTATTAGTCCGCTGAGCTGGTTGTGGAGTCATCTGTTGTGACATTAATGAATTTTGAGATTGTTGGTTATGCTGATGTGGCACAAGGTGAGTTGTAGTAACCACTTGTGCCATTTGTGGAGAGCGTGGGTGATGTTCACGAAGTAGTCTGACAATATCGTGATGCAATCGCTCATTAGCAACATCTTCAGGAAGCCTCTCCATGTTATCTGTTACATCTCTGTTTGCAAAGTGGTCCAACAGCACTTTACAAGCTTCATAGCTTCCTTCTCTAGCAGCAAGGAACAATGATGTTTCATCCTGAAAAGAAATTAGAATTATAATAAATTATTTACAAAATATTTATTTGCTTATAAAGGATTACATTATAATTTTTACTTTGTTTTATTAGAGAAAATATATATTTTCCAATTGCAAGCAATAAAGGGGTGCTGGTATATCTGTTAATACAAAAATCTGTACTGTACAGCAATCTTTTAATTTAAAAAAATACAAATCCTTCCCTGCTCATGACACAAACCATTTCATAATATGAGCACTAAAATGAGTTCTTACAAAAGTGGGGCATAGAGAAATATGTAAAATAATAAAAAAAAACTAGCATGCTGAAATAAGTATAAACATCAAGTGGACAAAGCCTTTTAATATCCCCCAATCAAATATTAGGAACATTCTTGAGGTTATCTTGAGATGATTTTGGGGCTTAGCGTCCCCGCTCTTGACCAGGCCTCCTTTTTGTTACACACGCCCATAGCAGCTGTCTAACTCCCAGGTACCTAGTTACTGCTAGGTGAACAGGGGCAACAGGGTTAAAGAAATTCTGCCCATTTGTTTCGCCTCCACCAGGGATCGAACCCGGAACCTCAGGACTACAAATCTCGAGAGCTGTCCACTCAGGTATCAGGCCCGTTTCATTCCCAACAGATCCTCAACTATTTAAACAAACTAGATAGTATACTCCAGGAAATCCCAGATTCCAGGATGTGTTGCCAGTCTGAATGCAAATTGCCAGCATCAGCAGGCTGAGCGATGTGGTGACCACTTGGAACTAGACTTAAAAGATTAAGTACAGTAATACATTCAACAGGAACACTTACTCTGCTGTTCTGGGCATCACGGTTGGCACCATGAGCAAGAAGTATCTGGACAGCTTCTACATTATTAACAGAAGCAGCCCAGTGCAGAGCTGTTTTGCCAGAATCATCAGCAGCATTTATGTCAGCATCAGCATTTATGAGGTCCTCGACCATGCCTTCAATGGCCAGACGTGCAGCAAGAATTAGAGGAGTTGTCCCGTCATTTGTTTTGGCATTGAGGTCTGTTGATCGGTTTCGCAGCAGTATCTGGAAATGAGATATATGTAAATGCTTGTACAGTTGTCTAATATCATACATGTATTTTATGCACTGGTTTAATGCCCTATTTTGTTGATTATCCAAAGGGAAGAACCTTTGACAAGGTTGGTCCTTGTTGAGATCACTAGTGTTAAGGGGGCATAACCTCAAAATATGCAATAAATGAAAACTGGTTCAATTTCAATCTAATGTTCTTGGTTGTTAAACCAGCCACCTTCAGCAGTTAATTGCTGAAGAAGACCAGTTTAACAGCTGAAAATATTGCAGTTTTACTTCATTTTCAATGTTGTTTTCCCACACACTTAGATCAGTGTTTCATGATTGTTGTTGCATATCAGGGTGTATAATTTGTGTAATGAAGTTGATCTTAAGTTATATCTGAGTTTTTATGTATTATTTTGGTCAGACAAGATGGCTCCTGATAAAACTCTACTATTGCATCTGTTGATGACACTTACAGGTCATGTGACCTAGTGTAGCCAATAAGAAAAGACCTATGATATCAAGCATCAGCAAGACCACCCAGATTACCCATTTATCTGGAGACCAGCACCTAGATGTCCAGACATATGGTGTGCACTGACACTACAGACACTGCCAATTTTAGTTACTACAGTACATCCGTGGATTTGGCACATACAGTGTAATTAAGCATATAAGTGGCATATAAGTGTAATTTTATAGAATGTCTTTCCTTCGATTCATACCATAACTCTTGCAAATCTACTAATATTACTACTGTATTTATTTAATCCACCAAGAACATCAATAAGTGTCTGAAGAAAGGCAACTTTACCAAAGCTTAATTACACAATAAAGGTGTGCAAGTGATTTTTTGGATCACAGTATTAATGGCCAAAGCCTAAAATAACTGAATAAATTTAGCTAAGACTGCTTAATATAACTAGTTAAATTTGTTACTACATTTATTTGAAACTTGATGGCCATAATTATCACTCAAAATTAAGCATCCGTTTTTTTGGATCAAATAGTTAAATTTACAAGTATAAAAATAAATAAAAAAATTTTTTTTGTCTGCTACAGCATTTTTTGTTTTAATAAAATATTTATTTGAAATAAGCCATGTATATCTGAATAATATTTGTAAATGTGTGGAAATATAAGTATTTACTGGAATGTGCTCTTTTTATACTTACTTGGAAAACTCCTTGAGCATCAGCAGCAACAGCAGCATGTAAAGGTGTACGGCCTGTTGCATCCTGAGCATTTGCATCAGCCTTTGCATCCAATAGCCTTTTAGCAGCATCTGCTCTTGCATACCTAGAACAATTATATTAAACAATTTCAGTTACATAAGCCTCTAAAAAATAATTAGTAAAGAATTTCAGGTATGTAAGCATCTTCTAATAACAAAATTATATTAACAAAATGTTCCAAACAGTACAGTATTTACAAACCTTGCTGCAAGGTGAAGAGAGGTTTCTCCTGTGCGATCCATCTTAGCATTCAACTTGGCCCCTTGTTCAATGAGTTCTTGAATTACTGCTGCTGATCCATCTTTATCATCTTCATCAGTGTGACTCTCCAAGCCACCACCACGGAATGATGCAATCATTAGTGGAGTAAGACCCATGGGTCCTTTAGGATCCACTTCTCCAGCAATACCACGCTGTTCTTCTGGTTCTATTTGGGGAGGAGTTAATGCCAGCAAATCAGGATTTTTAATGTCAGCAGCATCGAGATGCTGCTGTGTCCAAACCCGAGGATCATTAGCATCATCGTAGTCAGTGAGATGAGTTTGATCAGAATAACCAGCTTCATGTCTAGAACGTTTAATTGGTGGGTGTTCACTATCATCATCGGACCAATCACCTAATGGGCCTGGCATAGGTAAACCTCGGCTCATCCCATCATCAATGTCAGCAAGGTGATGAACAGATGCCCCCTTATTAAAACTGCGCATCTCTTGGCCATCAGGTTTTCTTCGTGTGGGTTCAGCACTTGCACTTGAACTAGTGCTGTATTTAGGAAAGAAGCCTTCCGGAAACCAGGTTATACCTCGTGATCGCTTGCGATTATTTGTAACTACCATGAAGATGATTCCAACTAACACTAAGGCAAATACAATGCCAACAATAATGTATGTGTACCCAGGTGGAGGGTTTGGAGGTCCATTTTCATAGATTCCAGAAATTGGAATGCCTGCATCACTACCTAAACGAAGCTGATTTGCAGCCAAGAAATTTGCTATATCGGTGACGCTATCAAAGCATTGGGATTCTTTTTCACATCGGCGTTTATCTATTTCAAAGTACACCAAAAGGCCCTGAATACCTTTTTCCTTAAAAGGGTAGATCATTTCTACACCAGACTGATCACGTTTAATAACAAGATGTATTCCTAAGAGACTACTTAATTTTCTTACAAATGACTTTTTGGCAGACCGGAAATCAGCTTCATCAGTTGCAACAACTATTTGTAGTCCCTCTGACATTATTGATGGTGGTTCATTTTCACAATCAAGCCCATCCCATCCACACTCTGCAACATTGCAACCTTGATCACAATGCCCATTTTCATAATTTGTAGCACAATAAGCATCATAAATGGGATTGCAGGTTCCAACAGGTTTCCGACAATCCAAACCATCAAAGAGGCATCCAGCATTGTTACACTGTGTGTTACATACTCCATCTCCAAAAACCTGCCAGCAAGCAATATCAGCTTGACAGAAAGCCCAGGGATTACGACCCAAAGAACATTCATAGCCATCATAATCACAAGCAATACTTGCACATTCAGGGTCACATCGCAAATTATTTTTCTTTTCATGACAGCGATGAAGTTCACATTTTTCTCTTTCAAAGGTAATATTAGTAATGGCAGCTGTATCTGGAACTTGACCAAGTCCACCATTAAATGTGGGATCATTCATTTCGCACCTTTTCCCATTCCAATGTGGTGGGCACTGGCATTCATAATATGTAATTCGATCAAGGCATTTGCCATTGTGTGTGCAGGGGTTTGGCGTACACTGATGAGACCGATGGCGTTTTGGGACACATTCAATTCCTTTCTCATATGGCCTGCATGTTTCACCTGGATTACAGGGATTTGAAGCACAATTGTCACTTGGAAACTCACATGATTTACCTGTGAATCCTTCTGGACAATGACAAGAATAGTCTCTATCTGTATTACTGCACACTCCTCCATTTTGGCATGGAGATTCAGCACAAAAGTCTCTCTTGCTTTCACAATGACGTCCCATAAATCCTGGACGACAGTTGCAACGATAGTCATTTACAAGCTGAACACAATCTGCAGTGCCTTCTCTCACACATGGAAAAGACAAACATTCATTTACATCCCCTTCACATCTTGCACCTACATAACCGGGTTTGCAGTGACATTCAAATCCACCAACCTTATCTATACACTTTCCACCATTATGACATGCACCTTCATAACAGTCATAGGTATTGATCTCACACAGTTTACCGAGAGTACCATGAGGACAGGAGCACTGGAATCCATTCACTTGATCGTGACACACACCTCCATTTTGACAAGGGTTGTTTGGTTTACAATCATCAACATTATATTCACAATTTGGACCTTGAAACCCTGGGCGGCATGAGCAAGAGTAAGTACCTATATGGTCATTGCATGTTGCACCATTCATGCATGGTTGGGAGTCGCATTCTTTAATTTCGTGCTGACAATAAGAGCCTGTATAGCCAACAGCACACTTACATTGATGGGTATTTCCAATGTCTTGACATTTGCCATCATGAAGACAAAGTTTTGAGGGAATAACACGTTTGCTAGCTGCAGCTGTGGCACAAGACACCATCTCGACATCACATAATAAACCAGTCCAACCAGATAGACATTCACACTTGTAGCGGTTCTCGGTTTGATTGCATACTCCATTATTAAAGCAGGGTGAGGCAGAACACCAATCTACTAGACGTTCACACTGTTGTCCTGTGTAGCCATAATTACAGTGACACGTAAAGAATCCCACATGATCACTGCAAGTACCACCATTTTTGCAAGGATTTGAGTGGCATTCATTAATTCGATGTTGACAATGAGAACCAGTAAACCCCGAGAGACACTCGCATGTATAATTGTTTATACCATCAATGCAGCTGCCATTGTTCATACATGAAGTTTCAGTGCAGTCTTCATCATTAATTTCACAATTAGTTCCCGAAAACCCTAAAGGACAACTACAGGTGTAAGAATTTACATAGTCATTGCAAGTGGCTCCATTCTGGCATGGGTTTGATGCGCATTCATTAAGATCACTTTCACAATTAATTCCTCCAAAACCATCAACACACAAACATCTATATTCTCCAATTTCATCAAGGCATGTACCACCATTAAGGCAGGGCTGTATTGCACAGTCATTTGTGTTAATAGTGCACTGCCGGCCTTCATATCCAATAGAACACTGACAAGAATATGATCCATTGGTATTTTTGCAAGTAGCACCATTTTTGCAGGGTGAAGGTGATACATTGCACTCATTTATGTCCTCATCACAAAGACGGCCCGTGTAGCCAAGTTCACACTCACAGGTAAAATCCAGGAAGTTAGCTGTAGGTGTACAGCGAGCATCATGCCGACACTTGTTGGGTGAGCATGGATCCATTCGCACCTCACAGTTTTGCCCGGTGTGAGGAAGCTCACACACACACTTGTATGAATTTACTAGATCAATACAAGTGCCACCATTCCTGCAAGGCCGACTTAGGCAGTCATCAATGTTCGATTCACAGTTCCGTCCAGAGTATCCAGCTGGACATATACAAGTATAAGCATTAAGAGCATCACGACAAGTACCGCCATGTTGACAAGGATTTGATTGGCATTCGTCAATTTCATGCTCACAACGGTGGCCAGTATACCCAGGTGGGCACTTGCAGTTAAATCTGTTGACATCATCATAACAAGACCCACCATTTAGACAGGGATCACTGGCACATTCATTCACATTTGAAAGACATCGGGCATCGTAGTAACCTGAAGGGCACTGGCAGTGAAACCCATCCACTTGATCTATACAAACACCGCCATTTGCACAGGGGTGAGATAAGCAGTCATCGATATTAGTTTCACAAAATCTCCCAGTGTACCCAGGTTCACATTCACATCTGTACTCATTGATGCCATCTTTGCACTTTGCACCATTGCGACATGGATTGCTGAAGCATTCGTTGATATTGTATTCACAGTTGATGCCAGCTGTACCATTAGGACAGTGGCACTTATAATTATTTACATGATTCTTACATGTTCCTCCATGTTGACATGGAGTTGACATGCATTCGTCAATCTCGGTTTGGCAAAGTAAACCTGTGTAGCCAGGATGACACATACATGTGAAGGAATTATTTCCATCAACACATGACCCATGGTGGCAAGGTGAGGAGAGACAATCATCAATGTTAGTTTCACAGTTTGTTCCAGTAAATCCAGGACTACAACGGCAGTTGTAGCCAGCCACTCGGTCCACACAAGTACCACCATGCCGACATGGCTCAGATGCACAGTCATCAATGTTGATATGACATTGTCGTCCGGTGAAACCCTGTGTGCAGCTGCACCGATACTCATTTATGAGGTCACTGCATATTCCATTATTGTAGCATGGATGTGAAGCACACTCGTCAACATCTTCCTCACAGTGTTGTCCGGTGTATCCTGGAAAAAAAAGAGAGATGTTAGTAGTCCTAGTATGTTATCATTGAGCAATAAAAAATATAGACATGGCTCACAGGTAAGCTACCCCTTACTGTCAGGTATTACAGAAGAAAGCCATTACAAAGAAGAATAAGTGTGTTAAGGAGTTGAGCTCTATAGTGACTTGAGATTGATAATGATCAAATATTATAGCATACAAGTTTTTATATATAGATTCTGACACAAAAGAATATCTGAACATGAAATTTCATGGTAGAACAGTATAATCATAGCAACAATGATAGCTAAATTAATTAAATTTTTTAATTGGTAATCATAGCTATAATGGCATAGCATAGGTAATTTATTGTTTTCATAGCATCAATGATAGCTGAAGATGTTATATGATGTGCTGAAGTTGGGTAACATCAATTATCTAACAGGTATGTAATTACTTTGCATAAAGTCTACTCGGTGCTTCATTTACCTATCACTCCTTGCATGGAGAAAGAACCTGCTCTATGTATCATTAACTTCCTCTATGGACAGCACTAGTATGGTTTAACTGATTTTTACATAGATTCATTTTACATAATTTTAAATATTTCACTTGAGAAACTGGGCTTCAGTTTTGGTCAGTTAGAATAGCCTTATTCCACACAATTAGTTTTCCTCTGAATACTATTCTGACTAATTCTCCAAAGATGACCATAAAAAAAGTCTGGTCACCAAAAGTTGAAGTGGTAAGGTCACTCGTGATTGGTAAAAAAGGGGTATGCTACAATATAGACTACCTTGCTTCTACTTTTCATGAATTCCTTTAGGAAATTTACCTGACAGCCACCATATATCTAGTGGCCTCGACGGGAACAGAAAGCCAGCACCTTGTCAAAGGTACCCTCTCCCCTATTTTTCCTGAGGATTTTTTCCAACTGAATTTTGAACTCTAGCAATGTCTTGGCATTTACGACTTCGGCGGGTAGGCGGTTCCATGGGTTTATAACCCCTATGGTTGAAAAAAGCATCTCCTGTTTTCTGTCATACATTGTTGAGCTTGTTGAGCTTGAAGCTGTTGCCCCTTGTTTGTATTACAGGTGAACTTTTAAAGTGGTATATATCATAATGTTTTTTTATGTTTTAATAACCCATTTAATAATACTAACATTTTACATCACTAAAGTGAGTGAGATAGGCCTAAAGGCCTATCTCACTCACATGTTATACGTGAGTGTTAACTATCACATGTTAACTATCTTGTACATGTTATACGAGGGAGATGAAATTTGTTATTTTATCTAAATTATGATATTGAATACAAAGGGTCGTTTCTGAATACAATTAATAATCAATCCAACAAGTAGTTTTAATGGTTTCTTAGTAGCAAAAAGTTGGCATTGTGGCAGTGGTCCATGACGCCGCTCCAGCGCAAGTTGGTAAGGGCGGGTATGAGAAGATTTGTTGCGGCCGGGCAACCTTAGCTGCCCGGGCCGCTGGGCTGGGCTCGCCTGCCTGAGAAAGTGTGGCCGCGGGCTACCAAATGATGCCAGTTTGTGCTTGACACTAAAGAGTTGTTTACTGAATCAATGGCGATATATATAGTCAAAATATTAGTAAGTATATAGTACGATGTCCTACCAGCTCTTAATAAAGTTTAAAGTTGAGGGCGAGGTCAGCGTACGTGTTCTGTCTGCATAGCCCGAACAAAGGATCCTAAAAACCGATATGCCACCTGATGCCCAAGAACTTAAGCGATATTCATTCCTGATCTTTATTGCATTTGTAATTTGCCGTTTCTGTTATTCTATGAAAACAAAATTTAACCCCCCAATACAAAATCTATACAGTAGCGTAGCGTACTCGTGTGCCCTGCTCCTGCTCCAACATCCCCCCCAACCTCCCCAAAACCAACTCCCCAGGCGGGAACATCCCACTTCCCGTCCTAATCTCTACAACTCGTCACCCTCGCCCCCACTACCACCTCACTGCTCTCCGTACTCTCATGTGCTTCCTCCAAACCACATTCGAATGCCAAGGGCTCAAGATGCCGTATACATTCTTAAATTACTTAAATTCGTAATGGTATAATGTATGAAAGGCGGTAAGGTTCATCTTCTCTACACACAAACACAAAACATAAGCCTAGCTCAACACCAAACAAGGAATAACTTCAGTCACGATTCAGAGACGGGACTCGGGAGCTGAAGCTACACAATGAATCGCTCCGACTGAAGTAAAAAGCAATAGAACTTAAGCTTCTCTGACCTCATTGTGAATATACCAGCCTACCACCCTATTCTCCCTAATACAGACCAGACTACCTCCCTATTCTCCCTAATACAGACCAGCTTACCACCCTATTCTCCCGAACACAGACCAGCCTACCACCCTATTCTCCCTAAGACAAGCTCCCTAACTCGACCAAAGAGCCATAGCTCAACCCCCGCAAGCACAGCTGGGTGAGCACAGAAGTCTCAGATGCAGTGTGAAGGTCTTACTCGACAGCAGTGGCCAAGTGTTGTGGTAATAACGAGCAATATTGTGTTCGGTGAGAAAGTTTAGGATGTGGGCGACTTCGGCACAGCCTTGTTTGTGAATATAACATCAGTTTTAAATTATTTCCTGAGCTGATATTGGCACGGTCTCAGAACACGTGGTGGGATGGTCTCAGAACACGTGGTAGGATGGTTCCTCACGACCGTTGGAACTCGCCACATGTGGATGAATCCTACACCAAACCAAGGCACCATGTGTCAAGATAACCCCCTCACCGTGTGTAGGATTTTTGCTCGCCCACATTTTCGTTTAGGTCCCAACCACCACGTGCCGGGACGGTCCCAACCACCCGTGTCGGGATGGTCCCAGCCACCACGTGCCGGGATGGTCCCAACCACCACGTGCCGGGATGGTCCCAACCACCACGTGCCGGGACGGTACGGCGCTAAAGATGGGGACAGGCAAATCAACTCCGGTTGCTGGTGTAATCCACACCATGTTATGGGTTCATCTCCACCCATGTCATCTGGGTTATGGGGATGAGGCGAGGAGAGATCACTTAAGAGAACAGTTAAAGAGAACTCGATCTAACAACTTCAGAGATCACAGCGTATAATACTAAAAGGAATAAACAAAGTGCATTGATAATCTTTACTAGATGAAAGACAACAGAACGAGGGATCTGCAGTACTGTGCGTATTATTACTTAATACACTTACTTTCTGAACTGTTCATCATTGCTGGCTCTGAGCTGCCACATTTATTATGGTAAGTGGCGTCTGATGTGCCATGTGTTAGCTGCTAATATATAAAAAGGGATAATGATAGATGACATGTATATATTTTGATTGTTTTGTGTATGTAAATGTTAAATTCTTAGTGTTCACGAATTGATTGAAACCTTTCGCTGAACACTTTAAAGTCGCCGACAAAATGTTTCCTACATGTTGAACCTGATACACAGTTATGTGCAGTCCCCGTGGCGAAGGGGTAAGACACTTGCCTGGCGTTTCGCAAGCGCTTTGGCCTGGGTTCGTATCCAGGCCGGGGAGGATTTACTGGGCGTCGATCCTTAACTGTAGCCTCTGTTTACCCAACAGTAAAATGGATACCTGGTTGTTAAACGATTTGGCGGGTCGTATTCCAGGGAAAATTAGGATTAAGGACTTGCCCGAAACGCTGTGCGTGCTGGTGACTACAAGAGTGTAGAGCTCTTGTATATATTAATAAATAAATAAAATAAATTGTTAACTGGACGTAGTATTTAATTGACAATGCAATTTCCATTTTAGTCATCAATTGGACTACGGGACATTGGATACCAGGCATACTACTTTTATCTTCATACCTCTATCTACAAGAGCTAGAAGACGGGGATTACGGCTAGATCATAGATCATAGATCTAGCTGTAACCCCAGTCCCACATAGGCACAATTTGGAAAGTCCAGCCAAGTGAATGTATCATTACGCTATCGCTTTGTGCCATTCTTGTGTTCTTCCGAAGCCCAGCACAAAATATACACACATTAATGTAAGAGTACATCTCAAATGTCTTAAATTAATTAACATCTGCTGCCACTCTATCTGCTTGATACCTGCTTGATGGGGTGCTGGGAATTCACTATCAATTTCTGAGCTTGTTTATAGGCATCAATTCAAAGTTTACATTGTAAAAGATTTAAAAAATATAGTAATATATATATCGTTATCCTCCGTAAGGCCTAAATATCGTGAGTATTTTAGTGCACAGCGTTTATCTAAAGAGCTGACAAACCATAAAACCAAAATACGCTCAAAAGCAAGTGGTGGCCGAGGGTTAGGGAGGGATGGTGGGGGTGTGGAGTCACGACTGGCCCCGCCTTACTTGCAGTAACAACATGGCTTACCTCACCCCTCCCCTACCCTACCCTACTCGTACCCCGTACCCGTAACCCACCACTACCCCCGACCTTCTCCAATTACCCCTCCCCCACTCTACCACTACCCACGACTTGCTCCAGTACCCATCCCCCAACAACTTCCATCTCCCTCACAAGCAACACAATAACAAAAACTGGCTACATTTTAAGGTTGTACTAAGATTATTGCTGATGTAAAATCGTTGAGTGAAGTCAGCCCTCAGCAGCCATGCACTCAGCAGCTTGAGTGCCTCTGGGCAGCATTAAGTTAATGTACAGTCAGACAAAACTACGAATACAAATGTTATGAAAGTTAACTCTTCGCCGTGTTAACTTTAACCCCCAAAGTTAGCTGTGCTCGTCTAACACAAAACTACTGTAGAAAGCAAGAAGGCAACATGAAACTAATTCACTCAATTGTTCCCACTGAATCATCCCCCTAGTAACGCTAGGCTTCAAGATACCAATATTATTTCACGGTCATTCAAACACGAAATAAGATTGGTTAAATTTGTATATGTGATTATGCCCAAACAACTGCCGACCAATCAGAACCCCACGAGAACTCTACGCAGCTACTGACTGGTCAATTGGCAGCACGAACGCGAGTAAAGTGGGGGGGATATAATTGGGTAGGCCGGAGGCGGGTGTGAGAAGCATGTGAGGTGGAGGCTGGCAAGGGGAGGTACCATGCAATAACAGCATAAGAATAACAGTCTTATGCACTGAGTACTCCACAAGACTGATTACATGTCAATGTCAACTATAACGGCGTACCACTGTCATAAAAGTATTGTTTGAATTTTATTACAAAACTCAATCGAACACTACACAGCGATCGTGTATCGGGACCGGCCATTTCTTTTTTTTTCTTTTTTTTTACGTGTAATTATAATAATAAAGTTCTGAGAAGTTCTGATAGCCAAGCTTAACGTGCGTTATCATTTAATTGTATAACAAGCAGTTTAATGTAATGGAACAGTCTTAAGCCCAGGTAAAAGACGTTAACTTGTTCAGCAATACATTAAATACACTAAGTGTCCTGGTGATGATATACAATTTCCAAATGACCTGTCCCCAATCGTGGAACAAAAGTTAAATCCCCAAGCAGGACAGAAACGATTGGGCACGTTTCCGTTTAACCAATGCCTCTGCTTACCTAACAGTCGAAAGGTACTCGGGAGATGAGCCCAAGTACAGGCTTCCTGTCCACAACGATGATAAAATATATTATTACTGCCACCAATAAACGAAAGGATCTTTATACGTTTTGTGGATACTTTAAAAATCAACATTTGTATGGCTTTGACTCAAATTTCCCTACGCAGTACAATTTTTTACAATAAATCTATATATCTATATCAAATATAATGATTTTCCAAGGTTGTAGGCCAGACGCTTGGGCTAGTCATTAAACTTTGCTGGACTAAAAGTGATTTTATGGGCTGTGTCATAGGGAAGTCTGGGTAAGAACCCATGCTCCCCTTGAATGGGATTCGGCCCCTATGCCGGAGACTTCAGCATCAGTTTTAAATATTTAGGTATTCATATGTTGACATGTAACACGTATGTTCAGATGACATTACAATTTTGCATTCTGGGCACAACTGTTTGGTTACATTGATGGAGACTGTGTATAGGAAAAATTATTACAGTTAATGGGTCGGGGAAGGGGAAGGGGGGGTGACAGGGAAGGATGCGTTGGTGATGCAGGAAGAATGTGTGTGGGGAAGGTGTGCAAGGAAGATGGGGGGGGGGTGATGGGAAATGGGGAGGGTGTGGGCGAGGTGATGGAGGGCACCTGGTTGACCCAAGCATCGCTGGGTATCTTGAGGTTATCTTGAGATGATTTCGGGGCTTAGCGTCCCCGCGGCCCGGTCATCGACCAGGGCCTCCTTTTTGTATGTGTAAAGAAGATGGGTATTCCCCATCTAGTACAAAATATTGTAAATTAATTTATATAATTAAATTTCTTCTGAAATATGGTAATGCAATTTAAAGGCATTGACAAAAAAGTTAACTCTCAATTAGTATTTATGCTTCCCCATAAGATGGACTTGGTGCCGTCTTCTGATAATGACTTACTTTACTCCCCCCCCCCCATAAGGTTCCCGAATTAGCGCCATCTTAATTGTCCTTGGGTCTTCCAGGCTACGTGTTTTCTGTTGATAATTATCCTCCTCTTCCGCAGAGATCATAAAAATGCTCATGCTTTACATTTTTAAAGGAAGAGTCTGGAGGTGAAATCACAGATAGCTGCTACAATTATTAAGAATTTGCAATTTCAAAACAATTTAGCTTTTTGATTGTGAACGTGTACACAATCCAAAGATAAATCAAGTATCTTTAACTATTCTTATTGCTTAAATAAGACTCGGCGGAATATATGGTAAAAATATATAACAAATACTATATATATGGCTAGTAAACAGGACTGCTATGATTACCCCTTAACATCAGGTGTGTAGAAATTTTGGAGTAGCCTAATACACTTATTTTTAGGACGTATGTTGTGATCTGAATAGGAGTGAACTTGAAATATCACTTGGAATGCCAACCCTCACCTCCCTCTTGATTTTTAAAACAGTTCTAAAATAAAATAAAATAAATCTACAAGTTATTCTTTTGGGGAATATAAATGCTTTGTGAAGAAAACACTGAGTGACGGCATACGTGAAAGAAGTAATGGTGTGTGGAGGTTTGGAGAGTGACAGTTACGTGACGGGTTACGTGACGGGTTACAACACAGGAGGCACTGCATACCTGGTCTTGTGAAGCACCTGGGTCGCTGCAGTCTGTCAGTGCATGTTTACCCGCGATGCAGCTCTTATTTTAAGTCCTTTAATGGATGTGATATTTTTATTTATATTATTATTAATAGAAATAACATTCTTTTACTATATTACTTATTTCCTCCGGGCCGATGCTTTCCCCACAAATGAAATTGGGAAACTGCATAATGGTAATATATGTAACTTACCTGGCATACACACACAGCGGAAGGCGCCGCGCTCGTCCAAACACGTGCCTTGGTTGTGACACGGGTTACTCTCGCACTCGTTGATGTTGATCTCGCACCGAGGCCCAGTGAAGCCCTTGGAACAGTCACACCTGGTGATACAAAACATCAGCGTCACATCCGAATATGACCATTACAGATTGCTATTTTAAATTTACATTATAGAGTTGTGCATTTAAGATAAAAGTCAGGACACGGACTGGCAAAACATACCTGAAGGATCCTGGAGTGTTGACACAGGTGCCGTTGTGCTCACAGGGAAGGCCATCCTGGCACTCGTCGATGTCTTGAGTGCAGTCGACGCCCTTGTAACCAGGCGGGCAGGTGCAGATATAGCCGCCGTCAATAGGGGAAGTATCACACATGGAGCCTGGGTGGCAGGGGTTACTGGCACACGCATCATCAAGGTGACACAACAGTCCAGTCTGCCACACACACGTCAGTAAAAATTAGTACGTCGAAGTTTATATGACAGTAAATGTCAGAGTGATGCTAGAAATAAGGGTTATTATGAAGAAAAACAAACCTCATTGAACCAGTAGTTCCCCCCCCCGTACTTTATCTTATACGAAACATGATGCAGTAGCTGACATGCATTGAACCAGTATGCGTATGTGCCTGTTACATAATCTGCAAACGAATTCGTTACAGGTACAGTACAATATATCATTGAACCCAACGTATGCATAATTCAAATTAAACTGTTACTGAAACTGTAGAAATAGTTTCTAAAGGAAATTTGTAAATACAGTACATGAATCTCGTATAATACACTTTTTTGCATCTAATTCGTCCTTATTTAATACAAATAAACATGAGAACATGATAGTAATACAATTCCAACAAAATATATTCCACTGAAGGGCGTAATGATTCATACAGGCATGGAGTCACGCACCTTGCCTGGCGTACACTGGCAGAGGAAGGAGCCCACCCGGTCTATGCAGGTGGCGCCATTGAAGCACGCCGCCCCTGTACAGTCGTCGATGTTCTCAGAGCAGTCGTCTCCCGTCCACCCGTTGACACAGATGCACGAGAACCCGCCTTGAGTATTGGTACAGGTTGCTCCGTTCTGGAAAATACGCCAGAAATCACTATAAATTCATTCCATACGAGTATCGTACAATATTTTGAGTTATTCCATATTTGCTAAAAATACTGGTATTCATAGACAAATTTTGTGTTTCAAAAATATTCTCACATTGAGAACCTAAAAAAAACCACAACCATTTCCAACTACTGATCAGACCAGTGACCCGTGTTCACCCTGCCGGTGAATGTTGTGGTTTGGTACATGTTGATGGTGTGGTAGCGCGCTGGTGTGGGTGATGGTGATGGCTGTAGGATGTAGATGGCTGTTTTGTGGGTGAGGGTGGTTTGTGTTGTGGGTGAGTGGTTATGTTGAGTATGTTGGTAGCTGTTGGTGTACTGTGGGCTCTGGTTGTTGTGGGTGGAGATGGTTGTATTATGTTGTGGATGGAGGTGATGAGCAAGATGACGATGGTAATTAATTGTTAGTGGAGTAGGTAACCCATACGTCAGGCTGCGAGCAGCCGCGTCCAACTGCCTGGTTGATCAGTCCAGCAACCAGGAGGCCTGGTCGACGACCGGGCCGCGGGGACGCTAAGCCCCGGAAGCACCTCAAGGTAACCTCAAGGTAGGTAGAGGAGTGGAGTGGGTGGGAGGTGAGGTGGGTAGTGGCGGCCTAGGCGATAACGATGATACATAGTTGCGTTAAGCAGGAGTGAAAACTCCCTCACCTTGCATATAGTGGGTCTGACGGCGCACTCGTCGACGTCATCTGTGCAGTAAGGGCCAGTGAAGGTGGGCGGACAGGCACATGTATAGGTGTTAACACTGTCCACACATGTGGCGCCGTTCTGACACATGTGATTGTGACAGTCGTCAATATTCACCTCACAGTTCCGCCCTGTGAAACCTGAATGGAAGAAACACAATGTTAGAGCAACAACCCTGTTTCACTCCCCCTGCAAGTTTATTAGAAAACCAGTTTTTGACTAATAATTATGATAATTCCAACAGAAAATGAATGGTTTAGGTCATATACAGTATACTGTTAAGAGATGACAACTGTGGATCATCAAAATATCGATGCTGATGCGCGCGTGTATTTATTATTTGTGCCTGTAGGATCAAGCTTTTAGCTCTTGGACTCCGTCTTTCTATTCGTCGGCTATTTATTTGCATTCATTATCTCATATCACACTATTTATTATCTATTTATTACCTCATCACACACACACACACTCTGGTAGATTAAGGGAGTCTGGTAGCTGAGCGGACAGCGCGCAGGACTCTTAATCCTGTGGCCTGGGTTCGATTCCCGGACCAGGCAGAAACCAATGGGCAAAGTTTTTTCCACCCTGATGACCTGTTACCTAGCAGTAAATAGGTACCTGGGAGTTAGACAGCTGTTACGGCGCTGCTTCCTGTGTGTGTGTGTGTGTGTGTGTGTGTGTGTGTGTGTGTGTGTGTGTGTGTGTGTGTGTGTGTGTGTGTGTGTGTGTGTGTGTGTGTGTGTGTGTGTGTAAAAAAAACATTAGTTAGTTAGTGGTTAGTTACAGTTGGTTGATTGACAGTTAAGAGGCGGGCCGAAAGATCAGAGCTCAACCCCCGCAAGAACAACTAGGTGAATACACACACACACACACACGGTACACTCGAGCCTGACACATGTGGTTGTGAAACGTGAATGAAAAAAAAACACGGTTGACTACCCGTGCAGGGTACATTCGTACCCTCATTCGTACCCTGTACGGCTAGTCAATCAAGTGGAATGCACTGAAAGAAGAAGTTGTGAGAGCCACCTCCCTCCACAACTTTAATGCCAGATTTAACAAAGAATTTGAACGTCAAAATAGTTAAATTATAATGCAACAGGTTTCTGTTTGCCTCTCCTGGGTTTTATTATTATTATTCTTGTAGCTTTAGCTCAATTGTTTCTATTTCTCTACATAATCTCGTTCTATTCCCCCCCTAGTACACTTACGTTAAATGACCTCTTTCTCACATCTCTATGGCTTACACCTCGAGCTTCAAACCATGTCCTCTTGGGTATTCATTGTTGACATTTCTAGTTCCCATATGTTCGTTGCCCTAAAAGATTCTGTCGCCATGTTTTCTCTACGCCTGTCTTCTTTTCCCATCCCACGAAATTTTGAGACGAACCTCTGTACCTCTGCGTGAGCTTGTGTACATATGTATGTATGTATGTATGTACGTATGTGTGTGTGTGTGTGTGTGTGTGTGTGTGTGTGTGTGTGTGTGTGTGTGTGTGTGTGTGTGTGTGTGTGTGTGTGTGTGTGTGTGTGTGTGTGTGTGTTTGTGTGTGTGTGTGTCTCTGCTTGCTTGTGTGTGTGTGTCAGTGTGTGTGTGTTGATGTGAGTGGACCACCGGAGCAGTGATGCTGGTGTGTGTGTGTGTGTGTGTGGACCGCCAGTCACGAGAGCCAGCACGTAGCGTCAGCTGCACAGCGGCACCAGGAGGTCAGGCGAGAGGACTGTCAGTGTTGACATTTTCACCCAGGATTCACCCGAACATAATTTGGTAGCCTACGAATGGTGTAGACCCCTGTAGTATATCGTAGGTGCGTATGAGCGAGGGATGGGTGATGTCCCCCCCCTCGGAGGATGATGGGGAGCAGATCGTGGGAACGCTCTCACACCCTCCCTCACCCAACGGCCTCCCTCCACCCCCGCCAACTCGCCAAGGGCCCCAGGGCCCGCTCCAGGGGCCTCAATCGCAGTGGGGGGAGACTCAACTTGACTCCGACAGAGGAAGCTAGGAAAGTGGAAGGTAAGGGGATGGGAAGGTGGAGGGACAGGAAGGGGATAGGGTCTTGGAAGATATGTGGAGATGAGAGTGGAAAGGGTATAGACGGAAAAGGTGAGGGAATGGTAGGCTGATTAGGAGAGGAAGGTCGACGGGAAGTGAAGGGGAAATAATCCTAAAATACAAAAACCTGTCTATTTCTCCCTCACGCCCCACTTTAATCTCTCTCTCTCTTTCCTGTTTTTCTATCTTCCTCGCCCCTCCTACTTTCTATCATCAACCCCCCCCCCTCCCCTTCCCTCCCCCTTTCTCCCTCGCTACTCCACCTTAGCCAAATTTTAATTGCTTTCTCCTGTTTTTGGTCTCGCTTTACTCTTCTTTCTCAGCCTCCGTTTTCTCTATCTTTTCCTCGCCCTCTATCACTTATACCTCAATATCCCTACTTTTTCTTCCTCATATTCCCCTCTTTCTCACCTCTCCCCTCTCTCCCTCTCATCCATTCTCTCTTCCTGTTTCACGCCTCCTGTTTTATATTTCTTACACCCCCACCTTTCTATTCTCATCTTTTCTCTCTCTATTCCCTGCTGGCCCGTCTCTCTCGCACCACCACCCCCGTCCACTCCTATCCTCCTCACTAAGCCGGAACACACCTGGAGAGCGTTCTGGGAGTTCGTTCAATCCACGATCGTCCAAGTGGTTGGGCACACTTTCCTTCCCTCCCCCGTCCCAACCCAAATCCCTATCCTGACCCCCTTCCAAGTGCTATATAGTCGTAATGGCTTGGCGCTTTCCCCCCTGATAGTTCCCTTCCCTTGCCATGCACCACATACGGTAAATACCAATGTAAACAATATTGATTGTGAGTGTATTCTTTCATGAATACAAACTCTTACAATTTTCCAAAATTTAAGAATGAAATCTTCAAATTATTAAAGGTCAGGAGACACGAGTGTGTGTCACCGGTACTCAACTCCTCGCCCCTGTTCACCCGGCAGTACTCGAGGATGTACTTTGTTAACAACCTGGTGAATCATGTTTCCGGGAAACTAGTGGCTAAAGCTTAAGATGTAGTGTGTGAGGGAAGAACTCCAAGCCTGCTATCAAGTCAGAAGTCATCTGCTCCTCGTCCCACTGGTGTGTAAAAAAACCCACTGGTAATGTAAAGAGAAGATGCAGTGTTGGCCAAGACGGAACAAAACAAGAGAGAAGGAAAACCGGCAAAAGTTGTACTCGTTACTGGTGAGAACAAAAATGAAAGATAAACTGTAAAGCAAGAACTCGCACACAAGTCTAAAAATAA